GACATTGTTGTCTTGCTTGGAATGCATGTCGGCAAACGCAGTTTTCTATTTTAGTTGTTGGTTCTCCTGTTTCATTTTCCTTTGTCGCCTCTTCGGACACTCACGGGAGGATATGACGTAATGAATTATTTTACGCTACCACTACAAGACTATAAGGAATATTGTATTGTATTTTATTTTTCAAATTCACAATTGGTTTTAAAGCAACAAGTACCCTATCAATCATGCGGTCACGGTGGTTGGATACGGTGTCCGCGACGGCACGAACTACTGGATCGTGAAGAACTGCTGGGGCGAGGACTGGGGCGAAGATGGCTACATACTCATGTCAACTGCACATAATAATTGCTTCCTCATGACCGACGGCTATTACCCTATCGTTTAGATTACTGCTTTGATATATTAACATTTTATTATAATATACTCCACGCGCAATTTGGATGTTTTGTTTTATTTCTAACAAATACTAACATTATTACAAATTTATTTTTAAAAAAAGTTGGCTGCCATGGGACCCCCGGCAGATGTGAAACATACTAGTTGATTATAGAATTTATAATTACAGAAAACCACTGACCTCTATTATATAAGTACATACGGACCGGCAATACTCCGTGATATAATGAGACAGTTTGATTTTCGCCATTTTGGGACTGATAGCAGAAGTGAACGTTAACGGAACTAATAATAGAGATAAGACAGTGTGACAAAATAAATCGATAAAAATTCTATACTCTTTTACAAATTATGTCAAATTTAGTTCCCGGTAGGGATGGGCAAAGGGAAAGATATATCGATATATCGATATATCGTCATCATTTGAATGATGTAAAGATAAGGTGCAAAATATTTAAATAATTACTATAATGACGGTTCGACGCCGAAAAAAACGATACAACATTTTAAAATATATCGAAATTGATATTAATTCGATACTCTAAAATAAATATCGATATGTCGATATATCGCGATTTAAAATATCGACGATTTATATCGATATATTTATAAAAAATATCGATATTTCGATATTTTTCCCATGCCTAGTTCCCGGTGCGAACAATGGCGGCGCTACAAATCGCCGCAAAAAGGAGATGAACGTGGTTCTATAGAAGCTATGGGCCCGGCGTGAACAAAGTTTAAATATAACTTATTTTAAAAACTTAAACCTTTGCTACATACGACAAAAAATCATATTTAGTAAAACCTGGGGTTTTGTTATTATTTTGCTTTATTATTTGTAGGTTATGTAGTAAAATCACTCGTTCTTGGGATAAGTTGTTACAATAAATTGAAAGGACACAAAAGGATGCACTTTTTTAGTTATTATTAAATAAAATACAACTCAAACTTTTTTAATTGTTTAATTACTTTCTGCAATTATTAATAAAATGTTATCTCGAAAAGCAGCCTGAGGCTGTACATTCTGTTCTATTCCTCTCAATACCCAAGTAACACATTATTGTCATTATGCGGGTGCAACAACCTACTGTCCTGTAAATCAAGATAAAGGCCACGGGTCAAGTTAAATTAATTCACGAAAATAAAAACAGGAAATATATCCACAAGCACAACCACAATGCCAAAGGCGTATTACAAGTTTAAACTCGAAGTTACCAAGTCTCCTTCGAAACATGCAATGATCAACGACCATACAGCCTATTCAATTGTGTCAGATATTATTAAAATATTTTGTAGTAGTCTATTCAATGGATTTTCTAAAAAGATTTCTTTTATTCAGCATTAATCTCTACAGATTCGCCTCAACGTTTCATTACTATGAGTTTTTTTGATACTGAAGGGTATTTATTATAAAAAAAAAAAATTTTATAGGATAGGGTGACAAACGAGCACACAGTTCACCTGATGGTAAGTGGCTGTTGTGGCCCATAGACATCTACATTTATCCTCGTTTGCGAATCAAAATGCAGATGCGTTGTCACCCGTGAGGACTAAGATAGAATGCTCTTTTCCAGTAAAAATGGTCTCCGGTTCTCTACACTCACCATACGAAATGAATGAATAGACTTCATTTTCTAAAGCCATAGACAAACTTCATAAAAATATTTAAAAACGTTTTGTTTTTGCTATGGTAATGATATTATGGTAATATAATAATTATTTTTATTCTATGTGCAATATTCGCGTAAATATAATAAATACTTACTAAGTCCCATATAAAAATGGGACCCATAAATCCCAGATCAACATGGCACCATCATTTATAACGGCTTATCAAAAGTCTATTGCTAAACATAAGTCTTCCCCATAGATTACCTCACAGGCGGGATATCTGCTATAGCTGCCACGCTTGGCATGCAAATTAGCAACCGCAGTTTTTATCATCTTAGTTATTATAAGAAGATGCTGCTGCGCATCTCATTTATCATCCCCGTCTGTCAACTCCTACGACACCCGTAAGTTATGGCATGGTGACAACATGGCGAAGATAGGTAGAGTCAACAAATAAAATATAATGGGTTTTTTTCAATGTAAAGTGACTATCGCTGACAGTCTACCTAATGTTCTAATGGCAAGTGGCTACTGAATCTTTTGAACACCTGTAACCAACTTAACTACATAAAGAAGAAGGGCGTAGATACGATGTCACCAAGTGCTTCCCCTTGCGTCCACCACCTATTGTCAATCTTGAGGACGCGCCATGTTAAAATTCAACACTTATTTTTCACTTGAGAGCAGTTTCCGATAACTGCAATATTACAATAAAAAATTGCGGTTGCCAACCCGCTTGCTAAGCGTGGCAATTATGGCAAACAACCCCCCATGAGCAACGATGCAAAGAAACGGCCCCCAGTTTCCGGCGGCCCCACCATTCCTGGCTACGGTGGCAACAATAGTAACGGCGGCGCAGGGAGTGCTAAGAATCTCGGATGGAGGTTCGGTTGCTACCTAAGCTGACTCGATCTGGCAACCTTTAACGCACGCACCTTGAGTACTGACGAGAATATCTGGGGCTGGAATAAGAAAGACAGGTTACACTGGGATATTATAAGATTATCTGAGGTCCGAAGAGAGTGGGACGAAACGGTAATCCTCGAATCCAGCAACTTGTTCTACCATCTGAAGGGCAATTTTTTTGCCAAGAAGGTATCAAATTTATCGTCCACAAATCTCTTGTTACCTACGTTGTAAATATTAAGGGTGTCGACGAGGGTTGCGTATTTTATACTCAGAATCATGAAACAGTATTCGTCGAAGGCCATGCAGGTATACGCACCATCCTCGGCATATCCCGATGAGGAGGTAGAAAATATGTATAAACATATCTCTGGGGCTATGTTTTCCTTAAAAATCCCACTTTATGGTGTTAATGGGAGACTTAAACGCAAAACAAGAGAGAACGATGAGCTAAAGGTAGGGAAATTCTTGAGAGTGCTACGGAATCTAAGTAGCCAACAGTTGGCCGACTTCTTGGAAAAAGAGGGACTCTTTATGATAAACTCTTTTTTACAGAATACTTTTAATCTCATGGCATTTAGACACGAAATGAGGCTGCAGTCTTCAGTAGATTTGACAGCACACAGGCAACTGAACAGACAGATCCTTGGGACTTACGCAACTTCAATACAGTTCGTACTGAAGAAGCAATCGAATGGAACCAAGGCTCCAAAGACTTTGCCAGAGATAGTCATCGTTGGAGCCAAACGCAAGTGTTAGTAACGATACCAGAGCAAGTCTTATCCGACAATATTCTGATGACGTTACGAACGTCAGTCTGCGCGAGATTAGAATGACTCTCTAGCACCTTAAAAATGGGTAGGCCACGGGCGAAGGTAAAATTACAACGGAATATCTGAAACCAGTACTTGAAGTGCTTTAGAAGCTATTTAATTCCCACCTTCATGGGTTCATGGCATTTCATGACCGGCTTTTTGTGGTGAAAAAAACCGGTAATGAAATGCGGTAGTCTTGGTCTTCAAGAAAGGCGACAACGCTATGTGAAAGACCTACCGACCGGTTTCTCTTCAGAGCAGCGTCTACTTGCTGTTTTCGAGAATCATTACGAATGGTCTCACACGCAGACTCGACGACTTCCAGCCTCCCGAACAAGTCTACTCCATTTCCGAAAAGGCACCATAAGGCCACATACATACCCATCGGCAAATTGTACAGAAAACCGAAGAGTTCGATCTGTCACTTTGTTTTGCGTATATGGACCATAATAATGTCTTTGATTCCGTTGAAATTTGAGTGTGAACTGTCGGTATATCGAAGTGCTAAATTGTTTTTTACAAAACCAGATTACAAAACCTCTCTAACTGCAGAGAGGTGTAAGACAAGCTGACGTTATATACCCAAACTTTTCAGCGCAGCTCTCAATGCAGCGGCATTGGAAGACATTTTCAATCAACTGGACTGGAAAGGATACTACCGTATCTTTTACAGTCCAAGGTAAGATATATAATATATGAGTGATGTACTCACCATAAAATTATGGCGAGTTCATGATTGACCCCTTGGATCGGTCTGCTCTTATAAAATGTTTTAAAATAGTTATTTGTCTAACGTGAACTAAAAATGGAGCTTTAAAATGTAAGTCAAATTTAGTAATATTTTGAGAGCTTTAAAGCGTCTGCAAAGCGATACTGCAGGCGGAAAGAATCTGGGAGTATTGATGAGTGATTTTTAACGATATGATTTAACATTTATGTAAACATCAGCTAAGAGAATAAACGTGATGTGGGCAATATTTTTACGTGCCTTGATTACCTGATACCCGGAAAATGGCCTATTAGTCAAGCTAGCAGGTAGGCATGCGATCATAGTACATACTAACACTACTCATTCTTACACATTTCGTTCGTCAGAAAATAAGTGACGGCTGGTGGCCCTGGGATCTTGGACTAAAATGTTTAAATACAAAATCTGTTTAATTATATTAATTAGTAAGCGAGCATTCAATTTAATTAGCTTTATCAAGTTTGATAACACGGCATTTATATTAACGGATTCAAGGCCTTTCCATCATATTCCTGTTCAACATGAAATACCTGATTGTATTGTTACATTCAGTCCTCGGTTGCTGTTCCTCTATTATCGGTAATGTATTCATTATTTTGTATATTTTAAACTCAGATACTAGTCAAGTTGTTGGTAATTTTCCTTTTGAATCGTGTTGCTATTCTCTAGACAAAAGTTTCCTGGATATGTCTGAAAAGCAATACTACTGTGGATTATAGTGTAATGTTGTATTTAATTTATGATAAGCCAGGGCTTCACTATTATTGCACCTGACGGTAAATAGTGCTGCAGCCGAATGTGCAAACTACAATCACTTAGCTTAAGAAGCCTGCTCACCCCTGCATTGAAGACGCCTTATAATCGGATGGAAAGAAAAATGATTTTTAACATTACTAACGACAAAGCATGCCGTTTATTTTGGATAAGTGGTAAGTCGACGTCAAACTACTGGAGTGTCTGGTGTTCTGATGGTAAAAGTGAGAGGGAGAAATTAAGTCACGCAATGCACTCTTATGGACTGATAAAGGAATACAAGGTGTAATGGAAATATGCAGACTGTTCCTCCAATTGAACTGTCTATTATCGGACGAATTTTAAGTGACTGATGGAATTCGCAATAGAGGAATTCGTCCAAAAACGTTGAATCCAAAGGAGACAATCGTTTTTGGGCCCACTAGAAACTTTAACGTACCAATTTATTATATTAAACGGCCTAAAGATTTTATGAAAAAAACCGGAATCATTAAATCTGAAAAAAATTCTTTTGATATTCGTGAATTGGCTAATATAATATGAAAGAAAAAATGAGTATAAAAAAGAACGAACTACTAAAAAAATTTTTCCATCAAACTTAAAGTAAGGATAAATGCTGAATGTACCTACAACTTTCTTTTATACTATTAATAATTGACCAGTGCACTATTTTTACTTATAATACCGGTGAATACTACTAGACAATCGCTTTTAAATTGTTTTTAGGTTATAGTGATATTCATATTTTACAACTCAACAAATATTTTGAAATTTCTTATAACTATATTATAGATATTATTTTGCAGACAGCTACGCGGTAGAAGGGAGTCTAACATGGCCGAGAGAATTTCACTATAAGGCTGAAAAGATCAGCCTCAAGTCTGATATCGTTGAGCCCTACGAAGTATGGTAAGTGGAAGCAAACAAATAAAATTAGTTTTATTTGATCTTAATTCCCGAAGTTTTGGGTGCTTTTTTTTACCGCGTGACTATGGGTGCCCCATAGTTGCGCGATACTGAGGTGTTTGACGTCCTTATGTCATTGTTAACTGGAATACCTTCAGCTTTTTAAATAAGGAAGAAATTCCGGTCAACTTACACGTATAACACAACTTACAATCATCGGGATTTCAAACACACAAGAGTACATAATATTGAAATCAAGTAAAAAAAAAAGTAATGATATTGTTAGAAACTATTCCACATCTCATGTTAGAAATTATTCCTAAAGTTATTTAAATAAAAGCATATTACTCTTATTAGAAATCACTCTGAAGGTAAATTGATAAAAATAAAACTATCACGATTGGTGTACTGTCAAATTTTATGTTCTTAAATATCAGTAAGTGCTTAGTTATCACCTTCACTACTAAACACAATCACCTGGATTTTAAGTATTAATTTCAATAACCATCCTCTGACACGCAAGGAGATTGTAAAGGATTTGGGCGTTCCATCCCCATTATATAACTCAAAGTTTCTTCAAACTTCTCGCATTATTCCAATCATTTCTTAATTTGGTTTGTTCTGTACTAGAGTGTGTATGGTCACCCTTTTATAGGGTACATTGTGACAGCATCGAGAGGAGGCAGAGTTTATCCCTTCGCAGTGTTGGTGGCAGATACGGTCACTTGCGTCGTCTACCATCATACGACTCCCGACTAAAGTTTATTAATGTCCAACGATTATCTTTGAGGAGACAATTATCCGGCCAAGTTTCTTTGCACTAGATTGTGCATTAGCATTTAGGTTGCCCAGGGTTACTACGACTAATTAACTTCAATTCCGGTATAAAATACGAGAACGTGTTCAAAGAACTTTCAGGTTAGACGTACATGGGAATAACACTTGCTTTTTCAATCCCGTTGTAAAAATGTGTCGTGATTACGATGAGTTTAAGCATTGTAACGTACATCTACGAGTAGATATATTCGATAGCAGCCTTGTTAAATTAAAAAGAAGTTTACGCGTTTCTCTTAATAATGTATTTTTTTTCATGTTTATTTTTGCTACAACTAAGTCTCTTCTGTAGTTATACTATTACGCTGTATAAACTTTTTTGATAGTAGTTTTGATTAGAACACTTGTACACGCCCCTAGCTGCCCCAATCAGATGATGATGGGATTAGGGCCCATGAGTAATCCCATCGACGAGCAGCAGAGGGACGGGGCCAGAATATGGCCACGTGGAATTTCCTAATTACAATAAACAATATGGGAGGAAACTAGAAACACATAGTACTTACCATTATCCGAAGCTAACTTCGCACCAAGGCTTGGGCAGGCCGTGAGTGTGTGTAATAGTGGATGGCGAGTAGTGTACAGTGGGGTGTGAATGTGTGGAGCCTTGTCAAGCATAGGCGACCAGCAGCGGCCGAGTTCCAGGCTGCTCCAAAATGCTGCACCGCTTCAGACTGCTTCGGCGCCGGACCACTTCTTCGTTCGTCACGATGACAGTTCATTAACTCTATCGTAGAATTAACTAACTTACAGAAGCCACTAACTCTCATTTGTTATAAGGTTAACGCACAAAAAAACACGGAGTGTCCGGATCAAAGGTCACTACCGTTTCGCGTAGCAACAGTTATTTCTAGAATATCAAAGGCCGCACTAGCTAATATTGCCGAGTGCACTTATGCAGATTCTGAGTCATACACAATGAGTCCCTGGGAAGCTCTCAATCATAGAATGCGCGTCACAAATCCTAGACCGTATATTTACTGGCCGCGCCTAATTATTCCGAGTTCCCGACAAAAATGACAGCGTGCTGTTCCAAGCACAGCTGGCAGACGACTCTTTCGCCTTTACGCGTTCTCAACCCACCGCTCGGCCGACGTCAAAACCGGTATGGCACCGAGGCGCGCGCCCTCTCGCGTTAGTTCCTGAAATTAGCGTTTGGCGTGAACAACACTATTATACTTTTAATTTTAAAACTGTATTATATAACTACGGTCAGTTAGTGTACCTTATTATTCAATAAAATATAAACTATAATTTAAAATTTTGTACAATTGACTTCAATATAAATGTTTTGGCCTACGGCTGCTCCCACAAAGGTTCAATCCTCCGGGGTCCATCAGCGGAGTTTCAACCAACAGACGTAGTTCGGGCCTCAATATAGCCGCGTAGAATTTCCTAATTATAATAAACAATAAGGGGGAGCGTTCTATCCTACTGCCATTCAACAGGGAGATTATTAAAACTGAGCTTACTTACCTATATCCAAGGCGACTGGTCCCTCAGGGTTCGGTCAGATTGCATGTGGTTGTATGGTGCATGGGAAGTAAGGGTCAGTGAGGTGTATCTGTGTGTGACTGAGTGTGGTAGACCTTATGAGACCGTTGCCGTCGGCAGCAGCTCGGACTTCAGCACCGCTCCAAATTGTGGTAATCTTCCGGGAGTCGTCCACAGTCACTTTCTTCGTTCGTCACGAGGACAGTCCTTAACTTTATCGTACAATTAACTAACTTCAAGAAGCCACTAACTCTAATTTGTTATAAAGCGTAACACCCAACACAAATACAGAATGTCGGTCCATACGAAATCCCGTTACTGTAAGCAAAAACGTAACACACCGCACGAACACGAATGTCCGGATCAAAGTTCACTACCGTTTCGCGTGGCAACAATTATTTCTAGAATATCAAATACCGCAGTAGTAGCTAATATTGTCGAATACCCTTATACAAATTCTGAGTTAGACACAAGAAGTCCCGGGAAAAGCTCTCAAACAAGGAATGCGCGATACGAATACTAGACAGTATATTTACTAGACGCGCCTAAACATTTCCGCGTTCCCGCACAAACAAATGACAGCGTGCTGTCCCAAGCGCAGCTGGCAACAGACAACTGCGCTCGCGCGCCCTCGCCAAACCGCTCGAGCGAACGTCAAAACCGGTATGGCTCCGAGCCGAGCGCCCTCTGGCGTCAAATTCCGAAACCAGCGTTCGGGCGTGAACAATAAATTATCAAGAATAACTCAAAAACTGTTACTCAGTACTTGATAAAATTTATATGGGACCATATGTGAAGCACCAGCTTTCAAATAAAAAAGAATCATAGAAATCGGTTTACGCAGAAAGAATTTATGAGGTAACACACATAAAAAAAACATGCAGTCGAATTGAGTACCTCGTCCTGTTTGAAGTCAGTAGAAAAATAAATAAGGCAAATGCTCACTACAACAATAATGATAAAGAAGATCTTCATTATTTAAAATACTTTACTTAATCATGTATACTATTTACATTTCCAAAAACAGTGGCTTATTTCATAAAGGAGGCGTACGGCTCCTGGGTCGTGTACATAATTAAGCTTATCCTCTTTTATAAACAGGCACAGTTCAGAACAAAACCGCTCCCGGATAGACTTCTATGAGGGAACAGTGAAACGTTTTATATATAGCGATCCGGAAGAAGAGGAGCCAATTGCTTATGAGGTAAGTTGATGTCAGACACCCGTTGGATGAGAAGTGATGATCACTTATTCTCTTCCGCACCGACTCTTCAATGAAACAGTTTATTTATAATAGAAAAAGGGTGACAAGCGAGCACGCAGTTCACCTATTGGTAAGTAATTGCTGTGGCCCATAGATTTCTAAATCTATTGTCAATTAGAAATGAATATGCGGATGAAAGTGCAAAATGCAGATAGATGCGTTTTCACCCTAGAGAATTAACATTACTATGTACTCTTATGTTTGTGTATACAGGCTAATAAACACTTGACCCTTGACTAAGAATCTAAATGCAAATGCGTTGTCTTCATAGATAGTCACTCACTCAGTCGAGTTGGGATGTTACAAGTAAAATAGCTCTATGATACTATTTAACGCTGGTATTCTGTGCGGACGTGATATTCCTCCGGTGCTGGATCTGTGAGCGCTGTAGCATGGCTCTACTATGTTATAATGTTTCCATAAAATTCTAAAGATGCCAGACAGTGTAAACGTTTGTCACCCTCGCTTGTAAAGAAAAACAAAAACTTTTTTTTACTTTTCAGGTCTATCCGAAGACTGAAGATAACCTTGATAGCATTGTGCATTGTAAGCAAACACAGGCGGATGAATCAATGATGAAATTCTTACCATCTGTTGAAGGTTTTACTTATCAAGGTATTATTTCTTCTTAGTTTAACAGCGTTACAAATGATGAGATTCTCCTAATTTCTTGTCCTTCTTCATCGGACATCTGGATATTAATCCATTTTTGTTAGCTACGTATAATATATTTTTTATGGAATAAGAGTGACAAGCGAGCACACAGTACACCTTAGTGTAGGTGTGGCCCATACATATCCACATTTATCTTCAATTAAAAATCAAAATGCAGATACGTTGTTACCTATGAGGACGGTGATGAAATGACTCGTTTCCAGAAAAAGTGTGTCCAGTTCTATACAGCACTAAGCTGCTATTTTATGTTTATATTCTGCGAGAACGTGGTCCTTCTCCAGTTGCCCCGACCCATTCGTTCTACAACCATAATACAGCTGCAGTGTGGCTCTACCACGTATAAATAAATAAGTTCGTGCAAACTGCGTTGTGGTGACGTAAAAGAATCCATTTCTTGAAATATGACAAACTATACATTCGTACGTGTTAGAGCCATTCTGCAGCTATATTAGTAGTATAGTGGTAGCACGCATCTACATTTTATTGGCAAACAAGGATAGATGTAGATGTCTATGGGCCACAGCAACCACTTACCATCTGGTGGACTGCGTGCTCGCTCGCAACCCTTATCCTATAAAAAAGGTCACCAATGAACTTCTTAGCACGTCTCTCCATTGAGTCCAACCCTGCCAGGTGGCATTTTGCATCACCAGCCAATATGTGACAGCAGTACTCCATGCACGACCGTTAGGCGGCCTGTGTACTCCAAGGATACATTATGGAAATGCGAATTAAAATGCAGATGCTTGTCACTCCTGAGGATTAAAATGGAATGCCTCGTTAACAGTAAAACGGGTATCCGGTACACTTACATGACCCATTCGTGCTAAATCCATAACATAGCTGCAACATGCCTCTAGCATATAAAACATTACGATTTTGGCATTTTATTTTTAAACCAATGCGTCAATACTGTGTAGTCGAGTGATGGGTTCAAATCAATGTTCTAAGGTGAAACGACATATGATGGTAAACTGGTGCAGATTTGGAAGTCTGTCAAAGAGGAAGAAAAATTTTACAGGAACGTAAAAATCATTTATGTGTATAAAAACGAAAACAATGAACACATTCCTGTCAGGTATGTTTTTTTGTATAAAATAAAACCCACTGTCTAACCATTACAGCCTAAAAAAGGCCACTGCTAAACATAGGTCTCCGCCGTAGACTGCTTCATAGGTGGGGGGGATTTTGCCATAGTCGCCATGCTTGGCAGGCGAGTTGGCAACTGCAGTTTGTTTCCCTCTGCCGCCTCTGGCGACATCCACGGGACGGTACACGATACTACGACCAACGGCAAGGGACAAACAAACTTACAGTTAGTCCGGTATTAATAAACATTACTCAGCTCAAGTACACGCACTTGAGTACAATCTTGAGACTTATTAACAAACATATCTCAAAATGCGGTTTAGGTTTACGATATCAGCTGAGTTCCACTCTGATTAATAAACGAAACTCGACTCTCAAGTGTGTGTACTTGAGTGCAAGTCACAGAACAGTATTTCTAAGTACAGCGTTTTGAGATACTGTTTTTATGTGTTTATTAATTAGCAACGATATTGAGATGCTGATATCGTATCTAATGATTAAACACTTGAGTTCGTCGTTGAGTAACGTTTATTAATACGGGCCTTAGCGTGTAAAGCTGAGCAGTGTAACGTATCTTATACTTCTGCTATTAGTTAGAGCATCTGTTATACCATAAGTTTTAAAGAATTATTCTCAACTTTAAAAGTTACTGGGAAATACTCAGTAACATGAAATTACATTCACTTAATACTTTTGATCATTATTTTGTTATTCAATTGTTCACTTAGTGCACTTGTGTATAGCATATTATTTTCAATTATTAGAAATTAAAGTAAAATTTATTAAATTAATATATAATTTATTTTTACAAAATTTTGCATTTAGCACGTTTTTCTTCAATTTTGATGATTATTATAAACGTCAATCGATTTGTCTTAAACTTGTGAGCGTCACTATATACATGACAGTAATCAAAATTAAATATGGTGACAAACAGACGCCATATTGCTTTAAACAAAAAAATTAAAATCGACGAAATATAATCAAGTGGGGTATCATTGATTATAGGTATCATTAATTCGTTATGCTGTTAATATATTTATTTTTCTATACAAATATTTGTAATGTCGAAATAACAGCTTTTTACTATATGCATATAAACGTTTAAACGGTACTTATAACAAAAACAGAATTTTTAAAATTTTTGATTGTCTGTCTTTCCGTATGTCTGTCTGTCTTTCTGTTTGTTCTGGCTCATCTCCGAAACGGCTGGACCAATTCTGACCGGACGTCCACTGGCTGATAGCTGATGTTATAAGAAGTAGCTTAGGCTACTTTTATTTTAGAAAAATTAATTAGAGTCCCGCGCAAAATATTAAAACCCATGAAATCCAATCGTGATAAATTACGCACAGTTAACAATATAACTAATAACCTGAATGCATCTCTTTAACAAATTTTCTAAAAAGCGCAAAGTATATTTGAATGGTTCTCTATACCACTGTTGCTTGCCAGAGGCAATAGATAGAAGGGTGATAACAGCCCAGAGGGATGCTTTAACAGACAAGGAATCCTACCACCTAAAAAGGGGTGACTATGAACAATTCCAGAAAGATCTCAGGCCTGCTGATCGTGTAACAATCCCTTTAACGCCAGACGTACAAAACGCAAACCAACCGGTGACAGAAAGCAACCAAAAGTAAGAAACATCTTGTGATGCGATCACCAAATGTGTGGTATAATGGAAAACCAGCGGTGGACTTAAATGAATTCAGGAAGAAAAATTTGAAATGTCAGCGTAGTTAATATCAGGAAGTCATCATTACCGTGGCGCCAACTAATAGTAATCAGCTTTTCAGACTTCTCATAAAGCGGTTCATCATTCCGAATGCAGCTCTTGGCAGCCATACCATCATCAACTTTTACAGTTTTATTACCAACGTGAGTTCGGATGACCTGGACGTTGGCAAAGGTAAAGTTAATTCTTCTTTGTCCTTTTCTTTTTCTTTAACAGCTTTCCTATATCCATATATCCTATGAAGCTTCTTCAAGAATGAGTCCATTGGTATGCATGATTCGAAAGATAGGTGTAAGGTACACTATATTGTAGCATGAATGAAGCAGCTCGACCTGGCTAGGACCACGCTCCCACAAAATATCATCGTAAAATAGCAGCATAATGCTGTTGTGTTTCGTACGGTAAGTGTATATCAGAGTATATAATCAGAGACCCTGAGTGCTACAAACGAGACATTCCATCTCAGTTCTCTGAGTGACATCCCATCTGAATTTTGATTCTTAATGGATGAAAAACGTAGATGTCCATGGGTCACAGTACGTACTTACCATCAGGTGAACTGTGTGATACTTTATCATATTTTCTATAAAAAAAACTGGCAAAGTGCGTATTGAACCACGCTCAATGTAGAGGTAGGGTTCTGTAGTTGCCCGTCACAATACATGGGCTTCCTTGATAATGAGTATAATAAGTGAGTTCGCGGTTTGACCGCTATAACGACTAAAAATCCTCGGTTAAGAATCAAAATTCAAATGCGTTGTCATCTAGATGGTATAACCCGTTTCCAGTAAAAAAGTTACCTGTTGTCTGTCTCTGTTCTGTTGTCAGTTGTCTGCACTCACCGTACCAAACACAGCAGCTTTGAGGTGCTATTTCACAGTGGTATTCTGTGAGAAACATGACACTACTACGTAAAATTATTATTATTTTCATTCATTAATAACCAAACAATAGCACCGGATTGCACTTGAAAATCTATAGTCTGTTTGCAATTTAACGTAATGTTTCTGTTAAAGAAATGAATCTTACTTGTTGCCTTTGTTTTTAAAATGCATTCCGCTCAATCGTCATATAATGATTACTATAAGTGGTAGATCTTCAATCGAGGGCACATGTAGATATCTTTCGGCTACAGCATCCACTTACCACCAGGTGGACTGCATGATCGTTGATTCATTCATTCTATAAAAATATAAATGAGACTATATTTCCTAGCATTTTGTTTCAGTTGAACAATGTGAAGTCGCAGAGCCTTTGGGCACAAACCTAAAACATGATCTCGAAAACCTCTATCCTCATCTTGATTCCGATGTAAACAAGGCTTTTCAAAGGTAAACTAATTGTATTTTTATATGGGAGTAAAAAATTCATAATATTAATATTAATTGTATTGTAGCTACTACCCATATATTTTATTACAGATATAAAAATTACCATGGAAGAAATTATAAGGACAAGGAATCTGAAGTAAGGAAATTAATCTTTGAAGATAATTGGAGGTGGGCCAAACCTTTTAATCTTTAATCTTTGAAACTTATGGTTTAATGGTGTTGATCCAGTCACGTTTACTCAGGAATATAACAATTTCAGACGCATCGTAGATCACAATCGCAAAAACCTGGGCTATAAGTTGGAAGTTAACAAATTTGCTGACCGTTTCGACGAGGAACTGGTACACCTTTTCGGAACCAGACCCTCCGTCTCTAACGCTCTTGGCACTGAGCCGTTTCCTTTTTCCGAAGAAGAACTAAAAGCTATGGAAGAAGAACTACCAAGCAATTTTGATATGAGGCAAGATGGTATAATATCGTCTATCAAAAGTAAGTTTACAGTGTTGTGACGACACAAGTACCCAACGTCCCATTTCCTTCCATTTGTGTCATAAAAGGCTACTTACAAGAAATGCCAAAAACATAAAAAGGCTTCCAATACGTACAACCATAACATTATTAGTGTACAACATATATGTACAACGCTAGATATTAAGTACTCGACGGACCATGAGGAGTAGCGTCAAAACAAGATATTTTACCTGGTAGAGCTACTCCGCATCCTGTAGCTATATTATAGTTGTAGCACGAATGGATCGCCTCGACCGGGATAGGACCACGATTTCACAGAATACCAGCGTAAAATAAAATAAGCGTTTAGTGCTGCTGTGTTTCGTATGATGAGTGTAGAGAACCGGAGACTCTTTTTACTGGATACGTGGCATTTCATCTTAGTCCTCAGGGTTGGGAACGCATCTGCATTTTGATTCTTAATTGGGAATATATATCTGTTATCCACGTCATCCACTTACCATCAGATTGGACTGTGCGCTCGCTTGTCACCGTTATTCTATAAATAAAAGTATCTTAGGAGCCTACAACAAAAAATGACAGAAATATTTGAAGGCTTCCGGTAAATGGCGATATAGCAGCATCAAAGCGAGACAACTAAAACTACAATCGCCAAATCTTCAGTCAAGTGATTATTACAGTAAATTCTTTCTACAGTGGCATAAGGTCACACTAATATATCCAGTAACGGATTTTATGGGCTGATGTAAGAGAAGAACCATGTACTGTGTAGTGGTGGTGTAAGAATATCCACCGTAGGTGACGTAAGAGGCGACAGAGGGTAACAAATCAGGAGACAGCGTCTTCTCAAAAACTGGTAAAAGTAAAAAACTGCGTTTGCTAACCCGATTGTCATCTGTCATCTTATGAGGCAATCTATAGGGGAAGCCTATTTTCAGCAGTGGTCTTTAAAAGGCTGTAACTGTAGGAGAAGAAAAGTAAGTTAAAAAATATAAATATATATTGTTTTCTAATACTGTTTTTTATAGGATAGGGTGACCAACGAGCACACAGTCCATCTGATGGTAAGTAGTTGCTGTTACCCATAGACATCTATATTTATCTTCCATAAAAATCTTAATGCAGATGCGTTGTCAGCCTTGAGAATTAAGATGGAATGCCTCTTTCCAGTAAAATGGTTCTCCGGTTCTCTACACTCACCACACGAAAAACAGCAGTGTCAAGCTGCCATTTTACGTTGGTATTCTGTGAGAGCGTGGTCCTTCCCCGGTTGAACCGACCCATCCGTGCTACAACTATACTACTATTATAGCTACAACATGGCTGTACCACGTTTAATTTTAAGTTTCATCTTGTATTCGCCTTGAAATTTTAAATTCAAAAAAATTACGCGGGTGAAAGTGATCCAAGCAAGAGCTAGAGAAAGATCTCTTCATTATCAATTTCCTATTTGGTGACTTCTTGTAATATCATTTTTTAAAAGAAAAACAAATTGAGGTAATGAAACTTATTGAGGATCGTTTTAGTTTAGAGTCGTTTTTTTATATAAAACTGAGAGGACAAACGAACTTACAGTGTTTCTGACAGATTACAGATAGTATAATACAGATATATTTCTCAGTAAATTCTGAGAGAGACAGATGGTAAGTGGCTACAGCACCCAACCTCAAATAATGAAGGCTGTAGATCCGTTATCACTTCTGAGGTCTAAGACGGAAACAGTAACAGCCTGTAATTAAACTAGTACTCTGTCAGACCAGAACAAATGAGTGCAATCACTGCTACTTGCGGCAGAAACAGGTTATAGAGTGGTACCTACACAGACGGACTCCTACTTCTAACCTTTATAAAATATACTAGCTGTTCCCCGCGAATTCGCCCACGTGTAATTTAGGGTTTTAACCCCTAAAAAGGAACCCTAATTCTTTTTCTAAAATACGAGTAGCCTAAGTTACTCCTTATAACATCAGCTATCGTGCATTAAAAGTCCCGTCGCAATCGGTCCAGCCGTTTCGGAGAGTAGCCGGAACAAATAGACAGACAGACAAACATTTTAAAAATTGTGTTTTTGTTATAGGTACCGTATATACTTTCATATGCATTTAGTAAAAAGCTGTTGTTTTGACATTACAAACTGACATTGTGACTTTATTTATTTGTATAGATTTGTACCAGTTGTAACGGGGCTGATATTCAGGAGTCCAAAAACTTACAAATGGTATGGGAAATTATTGTAAGTCACATTGAGGCTATTAAACGTAATAAATCAGTTTTACACTTGTTTTCTGTAGTTTTTGCTTATCTTATACGACGATGATCATGACCATTTCGATGATCATGACATGACGATGACCATGACCATGATCCATGACGATGATCATGATGATGCCAATGACCTTTACATTGGCCATGACTGTGATGATCATCATGAACGTGACGACGATCATGACGATGATAATGATCATGACGATGACGATAATCATGACGATGACCATGAGCATATCGCTTTGTCTTTGAACGTGGAAAAAAATCATTCAATTTTGCACTGCTTCGATTACCGGTCTGGGCAAACATATGGTACGACATAGAGACCTGCCTGGTAATTTCACCATATGCTTTTAATTACTTATTTAATAATACAAATTGGCTTATGTCGTAACACAGACCAAGGAGATTGCGGATCTTGCTGGGCGTTTGCAACCACGGCTGCTATCGAAGCGGCTATTTCGAGAAGTAATGGCGGGCGGAATATCGACCTTAGTGAACAGTCCTTAGTTGACTGCTCTTGGAGGTACAAAATAAATTACTATTCATTACCCATATCATCATAACCCTCGGCTAAATATGTGTTTACTTCCAGCAGATAGTTATTAGAAATTAAAATGACATTCTACATTATATTCATGTCCTCCAAACCAGATTTCGCTCTAAGCGTTCAGTATCCACGGAGACTAGTCATCTGCCCAAGTGTATGCGCATGCACACGTGCACTATTCCCTCACTCTCATAGTCCAATGTGGTGGTAATCAGACACGACTGGAGAGTTATCAGGCGCAGGACTAATGGTTTTATGTGCTTTCCGAGGCTTGGGCCAGAAACACCGCAGAATTCCTAACTCCGGATTGCTCCTGAGAATTTCTTGACAGAAAAACACAATAATGTTTTTTTTTTATAGGAGAGGGGGCAAACGAGCATGCGGCTCATATGATCGTAAGTGATTACCGCCGCCCATGAACAACTGCAACACCAGGAAAACCAGGGGAATTGCAGATGCGTTGCCAGCCTTTTAAAAAGGAGTAGGCTCTTTTCTTGAAGGTCCCTAAGTCGTATCGGTCCGGAAAAGTGACTGATGGTAATCGATTCCACAAGGAAGTTATGCGAGGAAGAAAAATCTTCAGAATCGCACAGTGGTGGACTGCCAATCATCCAGATGGTGTGGATGGTATCGGGAGTTCTGCCGCAATGTGCGTTCATGAAATTTGGCAGCTGGGATTAATCTGAAATTGGAAGGAGATGGCATTCGGGAGCCTCAGCCCAGAGATGAGAACAGTATTCCATGTGAGGCCGAACCTACGCCTTATAAAGTTGCAGGCGTTGTGCCGGCATGAAATACTGTCCCGCTCTGCTGAGCACGCCAAGCTTTTTAGAGGCCAATTTGGCCTTCTCTTCCAAGTGACCACGAAACTGCACATCACTCGATATGTCGACGCCGAGGATTCCGATACTGGCTGAGGCGAGAAGGGGAGTGCCTTGAAACTGAGGAGATACGACAAAGGGGTTCTTTTTAGCGGTAAATGCGCAAACTTGTGTCTTCTGAGGATTAAACTGGACTAGATTTAGTCGCCCCCAATTCGAGACTTAGTTCAGCAAAGACGCGACTCCAGACACAAGTTTCTTTCGGTACTCGGCGACATTTTCCCGAGAAATATTGGCACGGCCGGTGTATAGTGCATCACCAGTGCTGTCATCTGCATAGAAATAAATGTTACCGGTTTGCAACATATCGTTGATATGCAGAAGAAACAGCGTTGGTGATAGCACAAGCCTTGTGGAACACCAGCGTTAATAGGCTTGTAGTCGGAGCATGCACCGTCTACAACGACCTTGAAGCTCCAATCTGCAAGAAAGCTGGTGATCCAATAGCACAATTTCTCGGGTAGGCCATAGGAAGGGAATTTCGAAAGAAGCGCTTTGTACCAAACCGGATCGAAGGCCTTCGCAATGTCCAAACTAACGGCCAATGCCTTCCCCTTGGACTCTACTGCCTCCGCCCATTTATGAGTCAGGTAGACCAAAAGATCACCTTTTGATCGACCCCGACGTAAACCGTATTGGCGGTCACGAATCAGTTGGTAATCCTCAAGGTACCGTATGATCTGGCAGTTTATAATGGATTCCATTATTATGGAGAACAAGGAGGTGATGGCGATAAGCCTGTAGTTGGACGGGTCTGAGCGGTCGCCTTTTTTGGGATCGGGTGGACAAAAGTTGTCTTCCATGATTTCGTGACTATGCTTAGGGAGTATGAGTACCGGAAAAGACGCATTAGAACCGATGCCAACTCCGGAGTACACGTGCTCAGCACAAGTGGAGAAATTCCCTCAGGCCCACTCGACTTATGGATATCCATGGAGAGGAGTGCGAACCGAGCGCTCTGAGAACCGCACATCCGGCATGGAGCACTCACACCGCGGGATAGTGGGTCATGTCCCAGTCATCAAGAATCGAGTTGGACGCAAACAGGGAGCATTAAAGGTCGGCTTTCTCTTTTGCGGCGTGGGCCAGTGAGTCATCCTCCCTGTGCAGAGATGGTAGTGATGGATTACAGAAATTCCCTTGGACAGCTTTGACGAGAGATCAGAATGCACGAGTTCCCGAAGGAAGGCTAACTAGTTTCTCGCCAATTCTGCCTATGTGCTCTGACTTTGCCTTGGCAATAACTCTTTTGAAGGGCCTGGAGGCGATGTTATAATTCTTTTAAAGCATGCTGGTGTTTACATGCCGATCCGCCGAAAACTCAGCCCAGGCCTGATAACACTCCTGCTTACTGCGTAATGCAGTCTTAAAGGAGCGACCAAACCAAGGCCGAGATCTGCCTTCGATGGGTACCACAGATAATGGAATAAATAGTCCCATTCCCTGTAGCTCCACATCAGTGACAGAGTCAGCAACAGTGCTGGGATCATCCGGCGAGAAACAAACCCGCCCCCATGGGTAGGATGCAAAGAAAAACCGCATTCCGTCCCAATTCAGCGACTCGTAATGCCAAACACGGCGGCAACCTGCAGAACGCAACCGCGAGTGGAGCGTGAGTGGCACCACACCCCGGATCAGACAATGGTCCGAAGAGCCAAGAGGGGCATCGACGGAAACCTGACATCCGTCCGGATGAGTGGTCAGCAGAAGGTCCAACAGGGAAGGTGTATAATCCTCCACATCTGAAATCTGCGTAGGCGAAGTAACCACTTGTGCCAGACCGTATGTCAAGGCAAAATCATAAACAGATCTCCCCGCAGGATCGGTTAAACGTGAACCGAGCCCTTCTGCCTGGTGGGCGTTAAAATCGCCAAGGATCACGATCTCTGCGGATGGGACCTGTTGTAGCAAGGAATCTGTAGCCATTGGGACTTGGACGACGAGTCGATCTGTTTCGGCATTACCGCTATGAGACCTATAGAGGCACCCGTAGACGCGCGGATGGTCGTTGCTGTCTACGCGTACAGGTCTGAACCTTCAATACTACTGAGAACAGATGTTCTCTCTAACGTATACGGAAACTTCAGCCCGTGGCACAAAGGAGTGCTCCAATTTGTACCCCGGGTAGGAGAGATACGAAGTATCAGCCAAAGAGGACACCTGCGTCTCGGTCAGAAAGTGCAAGGCAGGCTTCGCCGTTTCGAGATGGTAATAGACGTTTTTAACAGTGGTAGAGCCACGCGGCAGCTTTTGCTGCCACACGGATGGGCCGGATCGAACCGGGGTGGTATCACGACCTCACTAAATACCAGCGTGAAGTAGAGGTTTACCTCTGCGTTTCGCTTGGTGAGTTCAGGCGGCCGGAGGCCCTTTTTACTGGAAATGAGGCATTCCATCTTAGTCCTCACGGGTGGCAACGCATCTGCATTTTGATTCGCAAACGAGGATAGATGTAGATGTCTATGGGCCGCACCAACCACTTAACATCAGGTAGACTGTGTGCTCGTTTGTCACCCTTATCCTATAAAAAAAAAGACGGCGTTTAGATTCGAGTGAAATCCCCTGATTTTGCAGAAACTCACGGATAGCGTGGCAGGGGTCGCCTTGGTCTTGTTGAGTTTGATCAGTTATTGTTTTGAGCGGAGTTTTGCACCCCCTCCCCCCCCTTACCCAGATTACGTGGGGCAGCCTGAGCACCCACGCTCAGGAGTGGAGTAACATGGTCGTGGATACTCAGCGAGCGATTCTCCATGGGTGCTGGTACCCACCTGAGGTAGTCTTTGATTTAATTACGCTACCATGTTGAGGGGGGCGGGGGGTGATTGATCCTCCGGCCACCTGCACTCACCAGATAAAACGCAGAAGCAGAGCTTCCACTTCACGCCGGTATTTTGTGAGGTCGTCGTACCAAACGGCTCGAGCCAGCACATACGTGCAACAGAAAAAACTGCCGCATGGCTCTACCACCGTTAAACTGATTTTGACCTGACCCGAGATTTGAATCAGGGAGCTCATGATCAGCAATCGTATTTGCGACAATTGGGTATAGACATCCTATCTTTTCTAAGAACGTTTTTGGTCGCACTAACTATGACAACAGGACATCAAATGGTCATGACGAAAAAAATAAATATATTTTTAATTTTTCAGCAAACGTACGAGTATTAAATTTAAATCTAACCACGGTTGTGACGGTGGGTTCTTAGACAAGACGTTTAAATACGTGACATTACACGGCATACCAACGCAGAGGGAATATGGACCATACTTAGCACAGGTAGATATATAATACTAGTCTAAATTCGACAGGAATTAAAACTACTACAGAGATATCATTGTCATCATTACAGCCCCTCACAAGTCCACTGCTGAACATAGCCCTCCCCAAATAAATGCCACAAAGCACGGTCCTAAGCCACGTGCATCCATCGACTTCCACAGGCATAGATATACATGTAATATGCAGAGTTATTTTTCAAAGAGTAGCCAAATTTTATATTGAAGTTCAAATAAATAAATTACTTTAAACTGATATTAAATTTTTTTGAAAATACGAGTAAATAACGCTTCTACTTTTATTTGAATTTATCCCAAACTGAGTGTGATTTATGGGCAGCAACTAATCCTACGTGCACTTTTGTGTGTGTGATTCAATTCACGTTGTCGTTTCTCATGTTTTTGTTAAAATATGAATTTTCCTTTGACACTTTTAAAGGGCTTAGGATCGTCATAATAAATAAAAATAAATTTTTATTTTCCTAGTAACCGACAACTGTCCTTATTATGGCGTATTTAAGTAAATGGAATAAACTATTTACAACTAAATTACACAACTAGTCTCAATATTTATTATTGGTACCTCAAAACGGAATCTGTTTCTCTTGTGAGTAATTGTCTATGTAAATAACGAACACACCACATATTAATACCTAATACATAAACACTTACGTCTGTCACCCAGAGGAGTAGGCAGATACTACTGACTTATATTTGGCACGATCCTGACACACCTCTCTCGCCTCCTTTACATCTATATGTCTACGCATTCACCCTTGTCGGTTAAGGGTACTCTTAATTTGACGCATTTTTTAACTTTAATTTGGCAGTATGATCGTAAACAATAATTTTTTTTATTTTATTCTAATATTTGTAATACATATTATATAATATATAAATTCTAGCTTACTGCATTCTTTTTCCACCATATCAAATTTAACTATGAGGAGTGTTAGATATGCTAACACTCCTCCGTGCGCGAAATACGCTTAACTACTCAACAGACCACGGTGACTTCAGTCCCCAAAAAAATTATAAAGTGGTACATAGTTTTTCCTTCACGTATTAATATATAAATGGGGAAGATTCTCGAGTGGCAGCCTTGTATCGGTAGAAGAAGTGTAGGGCGTCCCCCTACTAGACGTATTGATGACCTGCTAACATGCAAGAAGTCGTTGGATGTAGGTGGTTCAGGGCCGTGCTTTGTGGCATTCCTTGGAGGACGTCTATTTTGTGCAGTGGACTTGTGAAGGGCAGTAATGATAATGATGATGATGATTAATATATAGATGTGCTTTTTAGCCGTTTAGTGTATCCGTAAGGATATCCACTATCCGATATCATCCCGTTAGTGTCGTAAGAAGCGACAGAGGATAATAAAATAGGTGATGGGCAGCAGCATTTTTCTGATGCCCAAAAAATCAGAAAAGGGACTCCTTTTCTAGTCTTTTCTCTCTCTTCCTTTTCTTCCTAAGCGCCCATCTGGTTACCCCCACACTAGGATTTTGATGATTTTTGATCCGTATGGCCATCCTCCGCTGCACATTGGAGACTTCAGTTCTGCAGCGTGGAATGGCAAGCTTTTTCGACCATGCAGGTGACCCGTATAAGGCCACGGATCGTATTACCCCCGCATATAGGCGACACATTTCCTCCCTTGGTCCCCCTAAATTGGGCAGCAGTCTATGCATGGCACCCGCTACTCTTTCGATCCGGAAGATTAGGCGCTTGAAGTGTTCTTCGTATCCCCAGCGACTGTCTAGATGGAACCACCTATGCGGACGCACGAGTCGGGTTCCCCGCCTCTTTGTAATTTCTGGAACCTTCCTGTGAAAATTTCCTGTATCGTGTACAAGGACAAACGTAACATCCAGATGCGGAGTAATTATTTGTAGACCATACAAATACTTGCACCGTGCCGAATTGACACCCACAGCCCTCAGTGCTGCAACTCAATTATAAATTACTGCACCACGGTGCTATCACTATTACTTCCGCCCTTAAATATAAGTGCTTACACTCCTGTCTTCTGGCCTGATTTCTCTTCTTACTGGTGGACTTAACTCACTGGCGCTGCAATGAGATGTTTTACCCCTTTGCATATCCCATGACATCTACCACGGGGAACGCTCAGAGGAACTGTTCGGTCGTTATCATCCATACCATCTTGATGTTTTGTAATCCATCACCAGTTTTCTTCCTCGCACAACTCCTTTATGGAATTGGCTACCACCAGCGATTTTCCGACCTATACAACTTAAGGACTTTCAAGAAAAGACCCTACGCTTTTCAATTCACCTGATGTAGTAGTTGCTCATGCACGGCGATAGTCACTTCCAAACAGGTTCGTTTTCCCACTCTTATATATAAAAAAACATGTATAATGTTATTTTGATAAAAGTCCCGCTAGCTTTCTATCTCCTTTTTGAAGTCGGTAGAAAAGTTCTCGAACTCTCGAACGATCTTGTACGACATGACCGTGAATTAACATTACTTTGGAGAGGCAATGGTTCAACAGTCAACTTAATAATCATTAATGATGCTCATGATGATGATTCTTTTTTTTCCAGGACGGTTACTGCAAAATGAAGAATATGACAAACATTTATAACATCAAAGGATTTGCTAAGGTGCCGTCGCTCAGTGAGACCGCTCTGAAGGCGATTCTCTACAAATTTGGACCCGTCGCTGTTGTCATCAATTCCGAGTCATCAATGCTCTATTACTCTAGCGGAATTTATTATGAACCTGTGTGGTACGTTTTTTATAGAATAAATGTGACAAATGAATACTGCTACAGCCTACGGCTGCCCCAGCAAGGTTTCAATCATCCGGGGCCCATCAGCGGAGACTTCACGAGCAGACATAGGTCGGGCCTCAATATGGCCACGTGGAATATGTTCTATCACAATAAACTATATGGGAGCCAACTAGAAAGCAAAGGTACTTACCTGTATCAGGAGCTAACTTCGATCCAAGGCTTGGGCAGGCCGTGAGTGTGTGTAATAGTGGATGATGAATAGTGTACAGTGAGGTGTAAAGGTGCGACCTGAGCAAGCTTAGACGACCAGCAGCGGCCGAGTTCCAGGCCGCCCCAAAACGCTGCACCGCTCCAGCAGGCTCGATCGCTGGACCATTTCTTTCTTCACTGTCACTAATTCAGTCTCTTAGCTTCATTGTACATTTAACTAACTTAAATTCGCCTATTTCCACATTCATCGTAGAATCAAACACGTGATACCCGACAGATTCAGCGTTAAACACAACTAAGTTCCTTCATTCGACACCAGAACAACACGTCGCGCAAGATTCAAAATACGCCTCGTTGACACGCGAATTGATCTAAATAGCCAATCAAAACATAAAAGGGACATTAAACGCGACGACACAATTATAATGATATCTTGACAATTAACCGGGAGAAGCTCTCAAACCAGGAATGCGGGGCTCGAATCCTAGACCGTATATCTACTAGACGCGTGTACACTATTTCGCACTCTCGCCCGAGTTAAATATCGCACAATTTACATATCTACGTGACGAAGAAGCACGTACTTCATCTAGCTATCTAGATCCACGACGGGCTGTGAATTTTGAGCCTGACGGTCTCCCCGCCTCGTGGCTGGCGGGGCACCGACGTTTTACCCACGCGTCGAGCAACTGACCGCCCAAGCGTCGAGCGATAGATTGCCCACGCGTCGAGCGACAGACCCCCACCTCGCCGTTTTTCTCACCTGCATACCATCGGGTGAGGCGCCAGCTCGAACGCAATTGGGTGACGTTAAAACATGACCAAATTTGGGCATAAACAAACACAAAGTCCACCTGATGTTAAGCGAATGCTGTGGCCCATAGACATTTACATACATTTATCATCATTAAGGATCATAATGCAGAATTGCTGTCACCCTTGAGGACATATACGGAATGCCTCGTTACCAATAAAAATCTCCGCTTCGCTACGCTCACTATACGAAACACAGAAGCGACAATCTGTGAGACCACGCTTTCCCCTGTCGAGCCTACCCATTCATGCCACAAACATAATTTAGGGTCATAGGTCGTAGGACTCTTTTTCTGCCAATTAATCCTTCTGGATATGTGTCACCATCTTACCTACTTCTGCCACCAAATGCAATTGTTTGCGCTGCTATATATATAAGGAGAGCCAGTATAATAACCGGCTGTAAGGTATTTCATTTTAGCTCTCATAGGTAACAAACGCACCCCCTTACAGTCAGGTGAAGTGTAAGTATGTTTGTCAAATAATTGTTATAAAAAAAACCTATCCATAATTTTTTCTACCTTTTTACTTCCTCTGCTGCTCAATTAGACTGAGTTTTATTTTCTCACTGTCTTTGTTTATTTTATTGTGTGATTTGTATTTCTTTGGCGTGTAATAAAGGTTTTCATACATACAGCCTATCAAAATTCCACTGCTGAATGTAGGTCTTTCCCATAGATTGTCTAACTGGGGGAGATATTTGACATTGTTGCCATGCTTAAAATGCATGTCAGCAAACGCAGTTTTTTATTTTAGTTGTTGGTTCTCCTGTTTCATTTTCCTTTGTCGCCTCTTCGGACACTCACGGGAGGATATGACGTAATGAATTATTTTACGCTACCACTACAAGACTATAAGGAACATTGTATTGTATTGTATTTTATTTTTCAACTTAACAATTGGTTTTAAAGCAACAAATACCCTATCAATCACGCGGTCACGGTGGTTGGATACGGTGTCCGCGACGGCACGAACTACTGGATCGTGAAGAACTGCTGGGGTGAGGACTGGGGTGAAGACGGCTACATACTCATGTCAACTGCACATAACAATTGCTTCCTCATGACCGACGGCTATTACCCTATCGTTTAGAGTAGTGTTTTAATATATTAACATTTTATTATAAATAAACTCCACGCGCAACTTGGGTGTTTTGTTTTTTTTTTCTAACCAATACTGACATTATTACAAATTAAATTTAAAAACAATTGGCTGTCATAGGACGCCCGGCAGATATGAAACATCATAATTGATGGTAGAATTTATAATTACAGAAAACTACTGACCTATATTATACAAGTACACACGGACTGGCAATACTCCGTGATATAATGAGACAGTTTGATTTTCGCCATTTTGGCGCTGATAGCAGAAGTGAGCGTTAACGCGGAACTAATTATGGAGATAAGACAGTGTGACAAAATATATTAAAATGAAAAATAAAAAAATAAATAACAAAATATATTAAAGTGGTCAAATTTATTAAAATCTTAATAACAAAATGTAAAAATATCATTGATTAACCAATATTTATAATTAAAATTTAAAGGATAGTGTTAAAAAAAAATTAATTTTAATTTTGTAATGGATCTGTGCTGTCTGTATCAAATAAATTATTATTATTATATCGATAAAAATTCTATACTCTGGCCTACCACATTCTATTTATGTATCATTTTAACATAATAATAATCATCATCATAACAGCCCTTCACAAGTCCACATCTGAACATAGGCCTCCCCAAAGAATGCCACAAAGCACGGTCTTGAGCCACCTGCATCCATCGACTTCCTGCACGTCTTACCAGGTCGTCACTCCATCTAGTGGGTACACTTCGTCCGCCGGTACGAGGGCGCCACTCGAGAACATTTTTTTCCCCATAGGTTATCGGTTTTTCGAGATACATTGTCGGCCCATTGCCACTTCAGCTTACTAAACCGTTGGGCTATGTCGGTCACCGTGGTTCTACTGTGGATATCCTCATTTCTAAGTTTATCACACAGAGAAACCCCGAGCATAGCTTTCTCCATAGCTCACTGAGCGACCTTGAGCTTCCTCATACGGTCAGCAGTGAAGGACCACGTGTCAGATCCATAGGTCATCACTGGCAACACGCACTGGTTCAAAATGTTGTATTGAGATTTTGAGGTATGCTTGACAAGAAAATGTATCGGAATCTCCCGGACGCTGACCAGCCGAGTCGAATCCGTCGATTGACCTCTTGGTCGAAGTTTTTCTTACATAGTTGGACTATTTGTCCCAGGTAAACATATTCGTCAACAACTTTGAGCTTAGTGCTCACCGGCATGGGTGTGACATGGAAGTTACACATAACTTTTTTTCTATAGGACTCACCTGATGGTAAGTGACTACCGCCGCCCATGAACAACTGTAACACCAGGGGAATTGCAGATTCGTTGCCGGCCTTTTAAAAAGGAGTAGGCTAATTTTTTGAATGTCTCTAAGCCGTATCTGTCCGAAAAAATCGCTGGTGGTAATCGATTCCACAAGGAAGTTGTGCGAGGAAGAAAACTTTTTCAAAATCGCACAGTGGTGAATCGCAAATCATCCAAATGGTATGGATAGTATCACAAGTTTTGTCTCAATGTGCGATGGTGAAATTCAGCGGCTTGAATTATTCCGAACAATTCCTCAGCGCACACCCTGTGGTAGATGCGATAAAATAAGCAAAGTGACTATGCAACATCTCTATGCAGTGCCAGTGATTCAAGCCGATCGGCAAGAACTCGGTCGTCGACGATTCGAAGCGCTCTGCGCTGGATGCAGTCAAGTGGAAGGAGTTGACAATGGGGAGCCACAGCCCAGATATGGGAACAGTATTCCATGTGAGGTCGAACCTGCACCTTGTAAAGTTGAAGGCGTTGTGCCGGCATGAAATGCTGTCCCGCTCAGCTGAGCACGCCAAGCTTTTTAGAGGCCAATTCGCCCTTCTCTTCCAAGTGACCACGAAACTGCACGTGATTCGATATACGTGGTAGAGCCATGCTGCAGCTATATTATGATTGTAGCACGAATGGGTCGGCTCGACCGGGGAAGGACCACGCTCTCACAGAAAACCAGCGTAAAATAGCAGCTTAACGCTGCTGTGTTTCGTATGGTGAGTGTAGAGAACCGGAGACCCTTTTTACTGGCAAAGAGGCATTCCATCTTAGTCCTCACGGGTGACAACGCATCTGCATCTTGAGTCTTTATTGAGGATAGATGTACATGTCTATGGGTCACAGTAACCATTTACCATCAGGTGGACTGTGTGCTCGTTAGTCACCCGATCCTATAAAAAAATATATCGACGCCGAGGATTCCGATACTGGCCGAGGCAATAAGAAGAGTGAGTTGAAGCTGAGGAGATATGACAAAGGGGTTCTTTTTGGCAGTAACCGCTCAAACTTGTGTCTTCCAAGGATTAAACTGGACTAGATTTAGTCGCCCCTAATCCGAGATTTTGTTCAGCAAAGACTCGACTTCAGACACAAGTTTTTTCCAGTACTCGCCAACGTTTTCCCGAGAAATATTGGCACGGCTGGTGTATAGTACATCACCAGTGCTGTCATCTGCATAGCAATGAATGTTAACGGTTTGCAACATATCATTGATATTCAGAAGAAACAGCGTTGGTGATAGCACGCAGCCTTGTGGTACACCAGCGTTAATAGGCTTGTAGTCGGAGCATGCATCGTCTACAACGACCATGATGCTCCGATCTGCAAAGAAGCTGGTGATCCAATTGCACAATTTCTCGGGTGGGCCTTAGGAAGGGAGCTTTGAAAGAAGCACTTTGTACCAAACCCGATCGAAGGACTTCGCAATGTCCAAACTAACGGCCAATACCTCCCCCTTGGACTCTACTGTCTCCGCCCATCTATGAGTCAGGTAGACCAGAAGATCACCCGCCGAGCGACCTCGACGGAAACCGTACTAGCGGTTACTAATCAGCTGGTGATCCTCAAGGTAGCGCATGAGCTAGCAGTTAATAATAGTTTCCATTACTTTGTAGAACAAGAAGGTGATAGGAATAGGCCTGTAGTTGGACGGATCTGAGCAGTTGCCTTTTTTAGGGATCGGGTGTACCAAAGCTGTCTCCTATGAGTTCGGGACTACGCCTAGGGAGTAGGAGTACCAGAAAAGATGCGTTAAAACTGGTGCTGACTCCGGAGCACACCTCTTCATCACAATAGGTGGGACTCCATCAGGCCCACTCGACTTATTGACGTCCAGGGCGAGGAGTGCTTTGCGTACCAAGCGCTGTGTAAGCAGCACTTCCTGCATGAAGCACTCACACCGCGGAATGGTCGGCAGTGTGTTCACCCCATCATCGAAAGTGAAGTTGGAAGCAAAGAGAGAGCCTTTTTTTATAGAATTAGGGTGACAAACGAGCACACAGTCCACCTGATGGTAAGTAGTTGCTGTGGCCCATAGACATCTACATCTATCCTCGATTACGATTCAAAATGCAGATGCGTTGTCACCCATGAGGACTAAGATGGAATGCCTCGTTTCCAGTAAAAAGGGGTCTCCGGTTCTCTACACTCACCATACGAAACACAGCAACATTAAGCTGCTATTTGACGCTGGTATTCTGTGAGAGCGTGGTCCTTCCCCGGTCGAGCTGACCCATTCGTGCTACAACTATACTATTAATATAGCTGCAGCATGGCTCTACCACGTACAAAAGCCTAGCAAATCGGCTTTCTTTGCAGCATGGGCCAGTGAGTCATCCACTCTGTGCAGAGATGGCAGAGATGGCTCACAGAAGTTCCCTTGAACAGTCTTGGCGAGAGACTAGAATGCACGTGTTCCCGAAGAGAAACGAACTAGTTTCTCGCCAGTTCTGCCGATGTGCTCTGACTTTGCCTTGGCAATGACACTTTTGAACGACCTGGAAGCAGAAATATACTTCTTTTTAAGAGCGCTAGTGTTTACATCCCGGGACGTTGATGCTTCAGCCTAGGCCCGGTAGCACTACTGCTTTTTGTTTCGTGTTTTATCCATGTTCATCTTAAAAGCTATCTGTTGGGAGACAATATTGAGTTTTGTATAGTAATTTCATCACCATAATTCTAATAACAATGGCAGCCACAACAACAACAAAATAAAAAATAAAGTTTTTTTTTTATTTATTATAAGCCAGTGCTTGACCTCCCGCCGACCACCTGGTTGTCCAATGGTGGAAAGGAGAGGAAGGAATTAAAGCGTGTAATTCTTGCGCACACTCACCGAAATGCATCCTATAGAATACCGAGAGACTTTGCTCGAGGCTGACAAGATTGTTTCCAACCAAATCAAGGTCACCAGTGAGCCTCTTAGCACATCTCTCCACTGATTCCAATGCAGCCAGGTGGCATTTTGCAGCACCAGCCCATATGTGACAGCAATACTCCAAGCACGACCGGACTTGCGTTTTATATAAGGTAAGAAGCTGCCCCAGCGTGAAGTACCACCGCACCCTTGCAAGGACACCAAGTTTCCTTGCAGCTGCTTTGGCTCTGGACTCATAGTTGCCCGTCAAGTAACCCATAGTTGAGGTTCGGAGAAAATTCAACCCTTAACAATTGAAGGCGGTCAGTGTACTCCAAGGATACATTCCGGAAAGTAGGAGCCCAGGTGAGCGGGCTCCTTTTAGCGGTGAGACGACACGCTTGTGTTTTGGAGGCGTTAAATCTCACGAGATTGGCATCGCCCCATTCGGGAACTGTCTGTAGTGTGTCTACTTTACTTTATAATTTTTGTCCCGTACTTTGCATGTCTGTGTAGACTAAATTTGAGATCTGTGACTAACGGTTTTCATCTAATTTACTATATATGTTTCAAATAAATTATTTGATTTGATTTAAGAAGAGATGGATGGACTGAGTTAGAGATGATATGTGTAAGAAAGGAGTGAATGAAGAGATGATGTCTAATAGAGGAGAATGGAAGAGGAAGAAGACATGACATCGATCCCAAAACCTTGGCAGGAAGAAGTAGTGACATGTAGGTTTCCTCATGTTGTTTTCCTTCACCATCGAGCACATGATGAATCAGCACTTTATCCGTTTCGCCGTCCCGTGCACTACATATAGGTCATTGCTATTGTCTTACTATTGTGTCTGCAAACCAGACAGTGAAAGTGTTAAATTGTAATTATAACTCATTGGTGGCTTTTATTGTGTATACTGTGAAATTTACAGCCTGTGCATAGCCTCTGTCCTACTACTACTCTATAAAAATCGAAATATATAACATTAACTAATGATTTTTATGTTATCAACATTCATTGGAGCACGAAAGTTAATGATTAATTACAGCACAATCAGTTTACATTTTTATTGGTAATAGGTTCAACTATACCTAAACATAGGTGGTATATGTGTTTAGATAAATAACTAGGTGTAAAGAATACAGGAAAAAATAAAAATAAATACTTTTAAAATATTTACTGCCTCATATCCTCTCGAGGGTGCCGTAAGAGGCGATAGAGGGAAAACAAACCAGAAGATGAGCAACAACGTATACCTAATAATAACTAATAACAAAACCGCGGTTGATAATAAGCTTTTCAAGCATGGCAGCTATGGCAAATGATGTAGTGTTGTAGCCCACACGACATATCTATTATATAAAAATGAATCGCTGAATGTGTTGCTAAGCGCAAATCTCGAGAGCAGCTGAACCGATTTCGCAAATTATTTTTTTATAATATTCCTTGAAGTACGAGGATGGTTCATACGGAGAGAAAAATTTAAAAACTTGCCTGAAAAAGTCTAAAAACAATACTTTTTTATATTCCCATACAAAAGATTCGTAATAATACTTAAAAGTCAATTTGAACTTTAATACCATACCATAAAGTTTAAATATTAGTGGAGGGGTTCCGGGAAGGCCAAACAATTGAGTGACGTTAGTATCGTATAAATATTAATGTCAATATTTGTCAATATTTATACACAGTTGCAGATAGCTGATGTTATAAGGAGTAACTTGGGCTGCTTTTATTTTAGTGTTCCGCGAAAAATAACTCCACGCGGGCGAAGTCGCGGGGAACAGCTAGTTAGTTATATATTAGAGTTAAGTTTGTGATAAAGATCAGTATAACTATATATCAGCGATTTTTCCGAACCGATACGACTTAGGGACCTTCAAGAAAAGAGCCTACTCCTTTTTAAAAGACCGGCAACTCATCTGCAATTCCCCTGGTGTTGCAGTTGTTCATGGGCTGCGGTAGTCACTTACCACCAGGTGAGCCGCATGCTCGTTTGCCCCATCTCCTATAAAAAAAATTAAAGTCTTAAACTAAGCAACACGTCTCCTTTTAATTTTTACACCTTCCAACATTATAATATCCTCCTATAAGGTAGTCTATGGGAGAGTTTTGTGTTCACCAGGGGACTTTTGATGGATTGTAACGGTAACGATAATTAATAGACTCAGGCGTTGCCTTTCGTCAAATCATTATTATAAAGAAGTTAATTCTCTTTATTCTTTTTTATGTATTTTACAGTTAACCAATATAAATAAAGTACGCTGCTTAAGTTTTTTTTATTGGGACAAAAAAACAGTTACACATTATTATAGCTAAACGTACAAGTGCATTTAAATAATAAAGAAAGAAAGAAAATACATATTATAAATCTCCTCCTTAATTACCTCATTATTTTCCCTTCTTATTGTTGTAAATGAAGTTTTTCCTTGGCCGATTAAAATTTAAAAAAAATGTTGTTACTTTTACATTAATGTCCTCCTGACCGATTTTTGGTCACAGCGGCCAAAGAAAGATCAGGCGCAGGACCAAGGCTTTACGTATTTTCCGAAGCATGAGACACCGATAACTTTCTAACTCCGGCAGCTACTGAGAATTTCTTGACGGAAAAGTCAGGTCAGTCAGGGTTTCGATCCCGGGACATCATAATCAGCAGACTTATTTTTATAATACTAAAGTAATTAACAAATTAACAGTCTCACTACGGCCGGCTAGTGTAACCTTTGGATACCTGCATACAACTTTAAACAAAGACGTCACGAATGCGCTGTCCACCTGATGGTAAGTGGTCCTGTGGTCCATAGATATCTACATATATCTTCGTTTGCGAATCAAAATGCAAATGCGTTGTCAGCCGTTAACAGTGGTAGAGCCACGCGGCAGCTTTTGCTGTCGCACGGATGGGCCGCCTCGAACCGGGGTGGTACCACGACCTCACAGAATACCAGCGTGAAGTAGAGGTTTACCTCTGCGTTTCGCTTGGTGAGTGCAGGTGGCCGGAGGCCCTTTTTACTGGAAATGAGGCATTCCATCTTAGTCCTCACGGGTGGCAACGCATCTGCATTTTGATTCGCAAACGAGGATAGATGTAGATATCTATGGGCCGCAGCAACCACTTACCATCAGGTGGACTGTGTGCCCGTTTGTCACCCTTATCCTATAAAAAAAAAGATTCATTTTATCCGTCCAGGACAAAGGTGTAATATCTCGTTACCATCAAAAAGTGTCTTCGGTTCTCGACATCACATAACACCATCATTTCCTGTTGCTGATATTATCTTAGCGCTAAGATCATTCCTGTTATGCAATGATACAGTATGTTGAAGTTAGCTGTAAGAAGACACTGGCTTAATACTTCACAAACATCTCCGCTGCTCTTGGCCCAGACAATATTGTATATTGATAGGAATGTTAGTTTCAAAACCAAATCAGCACCTAGAGTATAATATACAAAATCAAAGGAACACAGTTCACATGGATGCTATAGCCCATAGACATCTACATTTATTCTCAATTAAGAATCATACAAATGCGTTGTTACCCCGAGGACTATGATGGAATGCCTCGTTTCCAATAAATAGGGTCTCCTTGTGTAGTTTTGTCTATACTCAACATACGAAATACTGTATTTCGTGAAAGTCATCCTAAACCGATCGAGTCGACGGTCCTTCCACGATATTATATATTTTCAAAATATAATAATTAATTAAAAAAAATTAAAAATAAGTTAAGGTATCGAAAATAAAAACAATCAAGATATATTAAATTGGGATGTATATCATATAATAAGATAATAATGAAAAGTTAAAACCTAGCTTTTTATTACCTAAACATTAAAAAATAAGTCTTTGCCTATGAAATTGCCGTTCTGCAGTAGGTACTGGCCATTTCAAATCAAAATAACTTAATAACTTTTGTTTGATATAATTAATAGAATCAGGCGTTACTTTGCGGAAATCCATTATATAAAAGCTTTTAGAAAAATTTACTTCGCATATATACGCGTTATAAAATAAAATGATGTGTCTTACCTAGTATGAAGAGCACCTCCCGCCCTCCCTCAATTGCGTGCACTATAGGATTAGTGGTGACGGGGATAGTGCACGCAATTGAGGGAAGGCGGGAGGTGCTCTTCATACTAGGTAAGACACATCATTTTATTTTATAACGCGGATATATGCGAAGCAAATTTTTCTAAAAGCTTTTATAAATTTTTGTTTGACAAAAAATTCTAATTTCAAATTAAATTTATTTTAATAACTTAGAATACTTTTTTACAAAATAAATTATTTGTTTATTGATTAACGTTATGTTTTCATCTTTCTCGTCGTCATTATACGTTAAAATTTGAGTAATAGTAGAATAGAATAGAATAGAATAATTTTTTCCCGAGAAATATTGGAACGGCCCGGGTATAAAGCATCACCAGTGCTGTAATCGGCATAGCAATTAATGTTACTAGTTTGCAACATATCATTGCTATGCAGAAGCTTTGGTGATAGCATGCAGCCTTGTGCAACACCAGCGTTAAAGGACTTGTAATGGGATCATGCACCGTCTACAACGACTTTAATGCTCCAATGTGCAAGAAAACTGGTGATCCAATTGCACAATTTCTTGGGAAGCCCATAGGAAGGAAGCTTCGAAAGGAGTGCTTTATGCCAAATCCAAGCGAAGGCCTTCGCTATATCGAATCTAACGGCCATCGCCTCCCCCTTGGACTCCACTGCCCCTGTCCATCTATGAGTTACGTAGGTAGTAAGCTAGAAGATCACCAGCTGAACGACCCTAACGGAAACCATACTGGCGGTCACTAATTAGCTGGTGATCCTCAAGGTATCGCATTAGCTGGTAGTAAGTAATTGTCTCCATTATTTTTGAGAACAAGGAGGTGATAGCGCCTTTTTAGAGATCGATTTCACTAAAGCTGTCTTCCATGAGTTCAGGACTGGCCTAGGGAGTGGAAGAACCAGAAAAGACGAACTAAAACCAGTGCCAACTCCGGAACACTGGTCTTCATCACAATAGGTGGCACCCATCAGGCCCACTCGACTTGTTGACATCCAGGGAGAGGAATGCTCTGCGCACCGAGGGCTATGTAAACAGCACATCCTGTAAGGAGCATTCACACCGCGGGATGGTAAGCGGTGTGTTCCGCCCGTCATCCAGAGTCGAGTTAGATGCAAAGAGAGAGCCTAGCAGATCGGCTTTCTCCTTTACGGCATGGGCCAGTGAGTCTTCCTCCCTGTTCAGAGATGGCAGAGATGGCTGACAAAATTCCCCTTAGCCGGCCTTGGCGGGAGACCAGGATGCACGTGTTCCCGATGGGAGTTGAACTTGTTTCTCGTCAATTCTGTCAATGTTCTCTGACTGTGCATTGGCAATGACACTTTTGAAGGACGTGGAGGTGGCATTATACTTCTTTTTGAGAGCACTGGTGTTTGCATCCCGAGACGCACCAACGTGCAAACACCAGCGCCGTCGTATCTCTTCGTCGTATTTCATAAAAAAACGTCAATTTCATAGGTAAAGACCTAATAATCAAACGAAAGGTTTTGGCTGTAACTAATTCGGTATTCGTTTTATCATTTTTTTAAAATATTAATTACACTAAATAACATAAAAGTATATTTATTATACAAAACATATTTTATCAATTTAATTAACAGTTAATTATCATTATAATCAAACCGTTAATTATCCTAATTTGATTACATTTTCCTATAAAATGTTCCGAGTTTTAATTCATTACTTTATTCCCGGTCTAAGTGTGGGACTCTCCAAAATGGAAATTTATTTAAAATTGTTAATTTTTGTAATCTCGAGTAGTTTGGGCTTCAGTTATATTATTGGTAAGCTTAAGATTTATTAAAAGTTGAAATAATAATATTCTAAATAGGTAATTATGCATATCGTTTTTTTTTTGCAAAAAATATACTCTTTTTTGCTGCCTCGGAGGTCCAGTGGTGAAGTTCAGGGTTCGAATCCCTGGTACGACCAAAATCAATTATTAGTTTTTGCTGTTAAGGAACTCTCGGTAACAGACCGGAGTCAGGAAGTTGTCAGCATTTCGCCAACTTGCCTCGGACTTAAACAAACAACAACAAACCGTTTGTTAAGCCGTTTGTTGTACGCCTGATCACTCTGGTCGAGTCGGTCAGACTATGATGGGACCGCAATCCGGTATATTATATTTTCCCACGTGGTAGAGCCATGCTGCAGCTATATTATGGTTGCAGCACGAATGGTTCAGCTCGACCGTAGTAGGACCACGCTCTCAGAGAATACCAGCGTAAAATAGCAGTTTAATGCTGCTGTATTTCGTTTGGTGAGTGTAGATAACTGGAGACGCTTTTTATTCCATCTTAGTCCTCAATGGTGACAACGCATCTGCATTTTGATTCTTAATTGAGCATAAACGTAGATGTCTATAGGCCACAGCATCCATTTACCATCAGGTTGACTGTGTGCTCATTTGTCTCCCTATTCTATAAAAATATAACAATAAGGTAATATGTTGAAGACCTGCGATTGCGCACTTTCTCGTGCTATATAATCCTCACTGCTAATCCTAGACTTGATGGCTAGTCTCCGTTGAGATGTACCGCCATGACCGAAATTCGGTGTGGAGGACATAATTATTTATAATCTATGTTAAATAAAAAAATATATATTTTCCATTCTTATTTAAGAAAATAGTGTATTTTTACATCTGCAATAATTTTCGTTAAGGCTTTTAGCTTATTTAGGGTATAAACCCTAACGGAGAAAATACGGCTAGATCTGTCTGGGTGTCGGGATAATTCTGATATTTGTCAGCCTCATTGAAAGAAACAAATAAATAAATTTTTCTATTATTTTACCATTTTGTAGACTAAGGGTGACAAACGAACACACAGTCCACCTGATTCTAAGTGGATGCTGTTGCCCATAGACATCTACATTTATCCTCGATTAAGAACAAAAATGATGTGTTGCCATCCATGTTACCCGTATCAAGTAAAAATGGTCTCCGGTTCTCTACTCTCCCCATACGAAACACAGCAGCATTGAGCTGCTATTTTACGCTGGTATTCTGTGAGAGCGTAGTCCTACCCTGGTCGTGCCGACTCATTCGTGCTCCACACACACAACCATAATAATATAGCTGAAGCATGGCTCTACCACGTAAAAAGTTTAAGTTTATATAATAACTTACTTATATTATATTATTTACTTTCGACAAAGTGGTGGTTTCTACACAAAATTTGATGTGAATATTATTATTTTTTAGAGGGCGATGAACCTGGGAACAACTTATTATGGCCAACGGAATACTACTTCAAATCTGAGACAATGAACCTTAAAACTGGCGTTGTAGAGCCCTGTGAAGTTTGGTGAGATAAAAAGAACTTTAATGATTATATTCTTTCATCATCATCATCATCTTTGCAATCCTTCACAAGTCCATGCCAAAGAGTGCTACAAACATCCTCCATGATGCAAGTTAATTTAGTGGGGATCCCATATTTTACTTACCGGTAGGTAGATACCAATAAAAAACATTTCTTCCTCAGTTAGTGTTCGTTCTAAGAGCTATATGGCCGTTTGTTATTTTAGCTTCTCTCTTAAAAAAGGATATTACGTTCCCTGACTTATTTATTTATGTATTATATACGAAAGTACTACACTCTAAATCACTAATAATTTATAGAAATACTTGTGAGCCGTTACGGTTTCGTACGGGTGATTTCTGGATCTCGCAAATAGTGTCACTTACTGGGTCCGATTATAAATCTAAACCATTGAAAGACACATCCAAACCACACAACATATTCGTCAAAATAAGTCCAGGTGTTCAGGAGTTTAGTGAAAAACACACGTACAGAAGAATTATATACAGGGTTATTTTGCAGTAACCGGCCAAATTTGCAGAGAAGGCATAAGTAATATAGGCGAATGGTGAAGAAAAATTAATAAAAAAAAATCTCAAACATTCTGTCCTTTTCATCTTTAAATTATAAATGCGTGGTAATGCATTATTTTTCCTGATTTTACTGCACATGCACACATTCGTAAGGGGTCGGTATTATTATAAGAATTCGGTAGGCAAAAATGTTGTTGCCCATAAATCACATTAAATTTGAGATAATTTCAAATAATTCTAATTTTATTTGAAATTATTCCAAATTTAATGTGCCTTATTTACTCTTGTTTTCAAAAACTTCAATAACGGTGTATCATCTTTATATATAAAAATTACGTGTCACGTTGTTTGTCCGCGATGGACTCCTAAAGTACTGAACTGATTTCAATGAAATTTTGCACACTGTGTGCAGTTTGGTCCAACTTGAGAGATAGGATAGTTTTTATCCCGATAAATGACCCTCAAAAATTTTTATTGTGAATTTAAGGATTTTTATAGGAAGGGTCGTTGGAGAGGGCAGAACAACGTCCGCCTGGCGAGCTAGTCTTTATATACATATAAAAATTACGTGTCACATTGTTTGTCCGCGATGAACTCCTAAACTACTGAACTGATTTCAATGAAATTTTGCACACTCTGTGCAGTTCGGTCCAACTTGAGAGACAGGATAGTTTTTATGCTCATAAGTGACGCTCAATATTTTTTTATTACGAATTTAAGGATTTTTTATATGAAGGGTCGTCGAAAAGGGCAGAACAACGTCTGCCTGGCCAACTAGTTATTTATATATTTGAACATAAATTTAAAATTTGGCTACTCTTTGAAAAGTAACCCTGTGTAGATATAAAGATCCTCGATTAGGGATCAAAATAAACAGGCGTTTTACCCGCACTAATGAAGGTATTAAATAAAATGTCATAATTTCCACGTATGCATCAGTGAAGTAAATCATAATGAGGAACCCTGCATGTTTTAAAAGTTAATATATCGATTACATAAAGGAATCTGTCAACACGAATTAGAACAACGCGTTGGGCACACTCTCCAAAGTCCTTTTTACCCGACTGCTCCAGAAGGAGAATGTTTTCGAGAGTATGTATATATGTAGGTATATTTATTTGGCACGCTCTGAAGTCTAAACGGATTGATGAATTTTATCATAAGAGGAGCGAAATATATAGCCTATATGATATTTATATATAAATGGGGACGAACTGATTATAAACAAAGACGACACTGAAAGTTTTTAGAATTGGCCACTTGTAACCGATATAATCTGTCTGCCAGAGAAAGACAACTGTCGAAGCTTAAGACCGAGTGTGGCAGCATCGTTTCCGTTGGAGACATCATCGTTGGAGCCACACGTATGTGTGAGTAATGATCCAAGAGCGAGTCTTATCCGACACTATTCCGAAGATATCCCGGACGTCAGTCTGAGCGAGATTAGAATGGCTCTCCAGCACCTTAAAAACGGCTAGGCCTAGGCGAGGATGGAATTACAGCGGAGCTTCTGAAAGCGGGTGGAAAACCGGTACTCGAAGTCCTTCAGAAGCTCTTTAATTCCGTCATCCATGGTGGCATTACACCGGAGGCGTGGAGCAGAATGTCTTGTTCTTCAAGAAAGGTGACAATGCTCTCTTGAAGAACTACAGACCGATTTCCCTTCTGAGCCGCGTCTACGTGCTGTTTTCGAGAGTCATTACGAATCATCTCGCGCGCAAATTTGACGACTTCCAGTCTCCCGAATAAGCCAGTTTCCGAAAGGGCTTTAACACCATAGACCACATACATACCCTTCGGCAAATTGTACAGAAGTCCGAGGAGTACAATTTGCCACTATGTCTGGCGTATGTGGACTATGAGAAATCCTTTGAATCCGTCGAAATTTGGGCGGTGCTGCAGTCCCTTCAGCGATGCCAAAGTGATTGTCGGTATATCGAAATGCTGAAGTGCTTGTACAGTAGGGCTACGGTGGCTATCCGAGTACAGAATCAGAGTACGAAACCTATCCAATTGCAGAGAGGTGTAAGACAGGGTGACGTCATATCCCCGAAACTCTTCACCACTGCATTGGAAGACGTTTTCAAGCTTCTGGACTGGAAAGGATACGGTATCAACATCAATGGCGAGTATATCACTAACCTTCGATTTGCCGACGATATAGTCCTTATGGCAGAATCGCCGGAGGACCTAAGCACTATGCTCAATGACCTCAATAGTGTTTCCCAACGGATAGATCTTAAGATGAACATGGACGAAACACATGTCACACCTATGCTGGTAGTTATTGGGAGCACTAAGCTCGAAGTTGTTGACGAGTATGTTTACCTGGGATAAATAGTCCGACTAGGTAAGTTCAACTTCGACCAAGAGGTCAATCGACGGATTCAACTCGGTTGGGCAGCATTCGGGAAATTACGGCACATCTTTAAATAGTGGTAGAGCCACGCGGCAGCTTTTGCTGTCGCACGGATGGGCTGGCTCGAACCGTAGTGGTACCACGACCTCACAGAAAACCAGCGTGAAGTAGAGGTTTACCTCTGCGTTTCGCTTGGTGAGTGCAGGTGGCCGGAGGCCCTTTTTACTGGAAATGAGGCATTCCATCTTAGTCCTCACGGGTGACAACGCATCTACATTTTGATTTGTAATAGAGGATAGATGTAGATGTCTATGGGCCGCAGCAATCACTTACCATCAGGTGGACTGTGTGCTCGTTTGTCACACTTATCCTATAAAAAAAAACATCTTCTCGCCAGGTTTATCTCAAAACTTGGTAACGAGACTGTACAACAACAAGACTGTAGTAAGCTGAAGTGGCAATGGGCCGACAATATAGCTCGAAGAACCGACAACCGATGGGGAAAAAAGGTTCTAGAGTGGCGGCCGCGTACCGGCGGACAAAGTGTAGGGCGTCATCCCACTAGATTTAGTGACGACCTGGTAAGATATGGAGGAAGTCGATGGATGCAGGTGGCTCAGGACCGTGCTTTGTGGCATTCCTTGGGGGAGGCTTATGTTCAGTAGTGGACTTGTGAAGGGCTGTAATGATGATGATGAAACGATACAATAAAAAAATAAGTTCAAATTTTAAAAACGAAACTCTTTGCCAACATTATTCTGTACGTATTTTATTAATTTTTCATTTGCTTACGATTTGGCGGCAAATTTAAAAATGTCTGTGTCACGTCAGCATGAACATAACGCGAGAAAATTTTGTTCAATGTTTTTTTTAAGACTTTCAATGTCATTTAAGTCAACAAGAAAGTTATGATAGACTTCGATTGGCCTTTCACGATAAAGCCCTATATCGTGCCACTGTTTACATTTAGTTTAATGAGTTTAAACGTGGTCGCACTAATCTCATCGATGGTCTGCATGATGGACGGCCTTCTACGGCGACGACTGAAGATAACATCAGTGTTGTGCGGCGTATGATAGAGACTGATCAAATACTGACTTATCAGCAGATTCGGACAAGCTAAGGCATTCGTATGAGTCAAGTGCACAAAATCCTTCATGAAAATTTAGCGGTCAGGAAGCTTTGTGCCCAGCGGATACCTCATAATTTGACAGAGGCCCAAAAACTCCGTCGTATTGATTGGTGTCGTGAAATGTTTGAAAGATTTAACAGAGGTGACTCAAATGCTGTGTTCGACATACTAAATGGGACATACTTCATACGAAAGCTGGATTTATTGTTATGATCCTGAAACTAAGACAGTCTGCTGTCTGGGTGTTTCCTTCCGAGGAGTTGCCAACTAAAGTGAAGAGAGGTCGAAGTGTTAGAAAAAAGATGGTGGCCTCTTTCTTCAGAAGGACAGGTCATTACACAAAAATTGTTTTATAGGATCGAAAAACATTTACTACAGAGTGGTACGCTAACATATGTTTGCCTCTTGTCTTGAAAAAGGTTCGGGAGAAACGACCTTTCAATAGGATCCTCCTTCAACACGACAACGCCTTGTCGCATACCGCCAAGCAAACAATCGACTACTTGGCGACGTCAGACGTGGAATTACTGGGTCACCCACCCTATACTACTACCTTGCGATATTTATTTTTTTCCGAAAATAAAAGAAAAACTTCGAGGAAAACGTTTTATGGACGCCGGTGACTACATTTCAAAATGCCGTCGAAGAGATTCCTAAGGACAAGTGGGCAAAGTTCTTTTCTCAATGGTTCTAAATGGACACTATTTTGAAAAGATATAATAAAACTAATAACTTGCTAGCTTGTTCAGTTTTTGATCTTCTAAGAACTTTTAGTGTCACCCTCGTATATAATGTCTTATGGGATTTTACTATGGGGAAATGCAGCTGATTTAGAGACTATTTTTGTTTGCAGATAAAAGCTATTTATAACCTAAAACCGAGAAAGTCTCTTACATAATTATTTTTTTAAGAAATAAATATATTAACTTATGCCCACAGTATATTTACGAAAATTCAATGTAAGTTCACAAAAACAAAAGTAGTTAAAGTGATGTGTGACACTGTTAACACTAGGAACAAACACAAGCAAGTGATACCAGTTTCACGACTCTATATTGCATCTGCAATTATAAAAAAAGGGGAAAGGTTTTTTTTCACAACAGACATTTTAACGCCGTCAGGTTTTTTTTTTAAATTACTGTTTAATCATTAACCTGTTGAGTAGAATTTCAGGTGTATGTACAAAAGGCGGTCTTATCACTTGAAAGTGATCTCTTACTACTACACTTACTACTACTTAATGATCATCAATTTTATAACCTCAGGTATAGTGCTGAAAAGAACAGGTCCCGCATAGACTATTACGAAGGGATGGTGAAGCGTTACTTCTATGGTGAAACCGAAGAGGACTCGGCAAAAATATACCAGGTCAGATTTGATGGAATTATTAATATTCTTTCTTTTCATCAGATCGTTGAAAAGAGGATTTGCCTTAATTACATAGTTGCCCAATTTTCTACGTTTTTTTTTCAAATATCCGTGATGAGGCAATCAATAGGAGAAGCCTATGTTCAGCGGTGGAATTCAGATAGGCTATTATGGCAACTTCTAGTACTTTACTATTAATAATAATGGCCTAAATGTCTAGATACCAGGACAGGCCATAAACTCCAAAAAAAATAATAATAACGTCTATAACTTAAATTTAAATTTTTAACAAACGGCTGCACAAATTTTCTTGAAATATGCCTAACACTCTCGGTTAAGACATCTTTCAAACGAAAGCAACTAAATTAAATTCGGTTCGTCCGTTCAGGAGCTATAATGCCACTGACAGACACATAGACACACTACAAATATATATGTAACTTTCTCTGTTTTCGTCGGAAGTTAAAAATGAGAAAAGATGTACAATATGGCGTTTTGCATATGAGGCGAAATAAAAATTTTCTTACTTTCTTAATGTATGTCTTAATGTTTGTAAAACATCCGATTATACTGGTACAGCAGTTCCAGAAAAACTTCAACCGGCTCCGTGGCTAAAGTATTTTATTGCCTTTTAAGTAATTGAAATAATTTATTCACAGATTAATCCTGTCACTAATGATCGTGTGACGAATAAGATGGTATGTCTCAAATATGGTGGTGATGAGTTAGAGGATTTCTTACCGACTGTCGACGACTTTACGTACCAAGGTAACATTGTCATAGATGCATTAGAAGCATCGATCACTAATAAAAAACTAACTAAACAATCAGTGACAAAAATGCCTTTACCGAACGAGCGTTAACTCGAACATTTGTGTGCGCTTTTAATTTGTACGTTGCTTACACTCACACCGAAACCTAAAACCGACAACTTCAGTTGGTAATTGGCTGTCAACTGTCAAGTTTGCGTGACAACTGATAACTATATTCAAGTTAGTTATTCAAATATATATGAATCTATGAAACGGGTTTTATTTTAGTTATTTTGCTTTTTTTACGCTAAAGTAAAGTCAGCTTATTTTTATCTTCTATCTATATCTATTTTTTTTTATTAAAGCCCTGACTATAATTTTTCTATACACTGCATCTTAGTTATTACTTATTTTATTATTCTTAGTTATTTGGAGTCGGCTTTTATTGAAGTGAAAAACTTCTTTAGAATCATTGTGAAACGAAAAGGCGACACTAAAGAGAGACAAATATATACATCTATAGGATTTAGCCTGCAAAAGAATGAGATAGAATACATAAACAGTGTTTATTATAAATTTACTTATATTTTTATTACCTAAACACTACAATAATTATTACCTCTGAAACTGCATTATTTTTATACTCTCGAAGTTTAATTTTCTCAAAGTTTCACTTCTGCCGCGTGTGAACTACACAAATGTTTTTTTTTTAAATTAAAAGTATATTTTGTTCTTTTTCTATTGCAGGCGAAAAAATTTTTGATGGTAAAACAGTACAAGTATGGAAAAGTGAGACGAATGACGATGAAATGATGTACAAAATTGAGAAGGTCCTGTACGCGTATAGAGATGGAGACACTGACGCTCCAGTCAAGTAAGGTTTTTGAATTTTCAGAGAGTAGAGGCGGCGTCAGAGAACACATTACTCTATCATTATCACATCGTAAGAGGCGACTGAGGGAAACTAAAACAGAAGATGTGCAACATCATCTGCCTGATAGCCTACAATGCGGTTTTTAGAACAGTTTAGTGTTTTTTGTGAAAAAGAGTGACAAGAGAGCACACAGTCCAACTGATGTCAGTGAATCTGCTGTGTGTTGTATGGTAAATTTAGAGAACCAGAGACACTTTTTATTTTTAACGAGGCATTCTATATTAGTCCTTAGGAGGGACAACGACTGCATTTTGATCCTTAACCGAAATGTAGATGTCTATGGGCCACAGTATCCATTTACCATAAGGTGCACTGTTTGCTCGCTTGTTACTCTTATTGTTTAAAAAGATACTTTTAATAAATTTTGTTTGTGCATGCATGCAGATTGGAGGAGATAAAGTACAAATTGTGGAACAACGGGATGGCGGGTCACACCGTCACCAACTTCTATGTCTTCAAAACCATCATTAAATCAGAAGACCTGGACGTCGAGAAATGTACGTACTTTTTATTGACTTATTATGTAAAACTATTTTAAGATCTTTGACAAAATGATTAATGTCCATAACTTTAAGACACGCAATTTTAATTTTCTGTTAGGCTCGGGTAAAAAATATCGATGTATCGATGTTTTTATTCGCGACGTATCGATATTCGATATTTATTTATTTTAGTATCGAATTCGTATCAATTTCGATATATTTTAAAATGATATGTTTATTTTATTAGACAATGTAAATTATCAGACAAAACAAATAAGCAACAAAAGCAACTACAAAAGCATTCATGTGCGGTTATTATTTTTTTCGTCGTCAAAACGCCCGGTTATAAAATATATCGTTATGTCGATTTTTATCACGCGATAATTATCGATACTGTTCTATACTGTTTAAAAATATCGATACGATTAATATCGATATATTAAGTAAATGTATAACTATTTATTACGAGATACATAGTGATATAACTGATATTCCTTTGCATAAATCTCACTCAATGGCGGGCAGCCGCAAACTGAGCCGCACATAATTTGCAAATACCAGCCCTCCAAGCGACCGAAGCGGTTTGTAGGTAGCCGCATCGCAATGCGCATAGATCTCATGTATATATTTATGCATTGCGAGTAGCCGCATAGTGCGTATGAGCGTTTAGAGCGATATTTTATCACATTGTTTCTTTTTTTTTTAGTGGATGAATGCGATGAAGTGGGGCAACTGGGTGACAACTTAAGAACTGATCTGCAAATCTTGCATCCTGCCTCTTCAAGAGATGTTGATAAAGCTTTCAATAGGTAAGATTTTTATGATTATATTTGAGTTTCATCATCATCATTACAGTTTATCATAAGTCTTTTACTAAATATAATTCCCCTGCAAAAATTTAAGTTTTACTTTGGAAATATTATAATTAATACGTATGCACTATGCAATGACACAGTATTAAAGGTATAGAATTTTTTTTCTTTTTAAAAAACGTTACCTCCACACTAGGATTTTCTTCTGTATCGTGGAGGCAGTTTACAAACACAAATTGCACAAGGACAAACATCCAGACCCGGAACAACCATTTGTAGGCCATACAAATACTTGTTCCGTGGGGGATTCGAACCCGCGCCCCCCAGCGTAGCAACTCATTGCTAAGCCACTGCGCCACGGAGCCGTCAAATAGAATAAATTATCTCATTAATTTAAAAAAAATATGAAGCACTAGGATTTTCTCTTGTATTCTTCTTCCATGCTGCAGATGTGCGGATGTTCACACGAATTGGTCAGCTCGACCTTGGAAAGAACATGATCTCACAGATACCAGCGTAAAATAGCAGAACCTTAAAAGTTCTAAAATCTTCTTTTCTTTATTAAAAAAAAAACCTTAATTATTGGCTTTCATAACTACAATATGTAAATTTTAGATAAAAAATCCAAAAATTTACTTAAGGTATGGTAATCGTATTTATGTTCTACTAGCTCTCGTCTATGGCTAACTTATGTTTTGCATGGACGTAGACAATGTACTGGATATACGATGGCTCCGACGTTTACACTTGCTTAGTATTCTGTTTCGGCGCTGAGGTCCGCGGGTTAAAACCCCGCACGTTTTTTCTTGAAATTCGTGGATAAAAACTACCTCCATGATACAGGAGAAAATTCTAGTCTATAAAGGGTTTTTAAAGATGAAAAATGGATTCCATCATCACATTTTGACCGAACTCACATGGTACTGAAAACGGACAACGCGTAAAGAATTATCGCTGAACATATATACAAATATTTTAACGAATTGTAAACCTTGTCGTGTTTTGGAAGGCGGTTAAAAGAAACCCTCAAACCGTGAAAGGAGAATGAAATTTCGACTTTCAAATATTGCACCCTATCTATTAGAACAACTTTCAAATGGAATGTAATATTATTCTTATCTTTTCAGTTTCAAGAAACATTACAATAAGAAGCACGGCAAACACGAACATGAAATGAGGAAAGCGATCTTTGAGGAAAACTGGAGGTAAAAATCTTGTACTGGCAAATTCCTTCCCAAAATCCGGGTCATCGAGGACCAATAACCTTGAAATATCGTAACAATAATCCAATAACCTTCAAAGTATCATTATCATTAATGTATAGTGGTGGCATGAGAGTATCCACCAACCCGTGTCATCCTGTAAGTTTCACAAGAGGCGACAATAAGAAATAAAACCAGGAAATGGGCAGCATCACCATCCTGGTAACAATTTAAAATAATAATAATAAAAATGTTTTCGTTGCCTACCCGCCTGACAAGCTCCTGGATGTAATTGGGGAAGTTGGGTGACAACTTAGGAATTGATTTGGAACTCCTGCATCCTGGCTTTTCGAGACCATTGCAAATATTCCCTATAAGGCAATTTACAAGGTAGGCCTATGTTCAACAGTAGACTTTTGACAGGCTTTATTTATTTATTTATTTAAAAAACTTAAATGTAACATCTTAAGGTAAAGGGAACATAGGGCGGACTTAATGCCATATGGTATTCTCTACCAATCAACCCTGGGTGCCAAAGACAATTGTAGGTAGTCGCGAAACATAATACATAAATAAAGTGTAAATAATTATATTAAAATTATATATATACATAGTTAGGAATCATAACCCCAATATGATGATTGTTGAAAGTATGAAATGTTTTAGCATTTTTAAATATAATTGAAAATGGCGTCGCCTCTATTCAACAGTCGCGCGCACATTGTCGCTATCTATACCCACACCCGCCGGTAAAGACTGCAAAAAAAAATATACGTTGCGATATGCGTTTTTGTACGTTCTATAACTTCAGTCCGACTTGTCGTTGTAATCAACGATAACAAAATTATTATAAACAACAAAACAAAATTAGTTCGGTTTTGCTAATTTGTGAGTTACGACGCGTTTTGAGACTTTTCTTCTCAATTATTTTTGATATTCTTTGTTAATATTTTTGTATAATAAAATACTTATATGCCATTGAAACGTCAGTAACCTTTTTTAAATTTTCGCTTGTCTGTATATCAGTCTGAGGTAATCTTCGGAATGGCTGAACCGATTGTAATAATAGTTTACAAACAAATAGAGAATAATACCAGGAGTGATCTAGACTAAATAATCTACTCAAAATTAAGAGATTTTCTTTAAATAGAATAATTGATAAGATAAAATTAATGGTCTTTAATGATTATCATAGGTCGTCAATAGCCGTGGTAGCTCAGGTGGTTAGCGCTCGCTGTAAATTTCACAGTACGCGAGCAACCCGGGTTCGATCCAACACGCATTGCGGCAGCGCGGCGCACATTTCCTTGCCCTAAAATCCTCTCAGAAATGAAGGGAGGCCTGTGCCCAGCAGTGGGACGTATATATAGGATGTAACTTTAACTTTTTTAGGTCGTCAATTAGAGCCCATCCAGGCTAATCCAGAGCGGGTCGCTAAATATTAATGTTATTTTAAAATTAATGCACCTACTTAAATATACTATTCTTTTCAAATATTTTCCCATTAACAGAAAATATTCAATTAATCGAATAATATAAGGTTATAACATTATACCGTTATTAGCGGGTTTTCGCTATTGGTGCTGTGCATGCTGACGGTACGGGCTCTATGAGCCGCCATTTCTAATCCCATTCTTTATCCGTACGGACTGTAACATGATTTTATAAGTGTCATCAAATGAAAATTTTCGAATATATGACCTGAAACCCTGTCTATTGTCTGGCTGGATCACTTTTATATAGAAGTAAGAATGGCAAACAAGCAAACAGTCCAACAAATGGTACATGGGTACTGTGACCCATAAGTAATCGATTAAGAATCAAAATGTAGATGCCTTAATATCCCTAGTGAAAAATAATGTTTTCATCGTCCCCAAATTATAAGCAATATGATCACCGACAGGACACACAGTATAAAGTTCTAGTCGCTGCTTCCCGGAAGACTTATCCTCTTCCGCTACCAACTTTTCATTTTGACAGTTTATTTATAATAGAATAACGGTAACAAACGAACACACAGTCCACCTAATGGTAAGTGAATGCTGTGGTTCATGGATATCTACATCTATCTTCAGTTAAGAATCAAGATGCAAGGCTTCGCTACCAGAAAAAGGGTCTCTCGTTTTCTTCACTCACCATAATAAACACAACAGCATAATGCTGCTATTTTACGCTGATATAATGACAAAGCATGACACTTCCCAGGTCGGGCCAACCCATTCGTGCTACAACCATAATATAGCTGCAGTATGACTGTACCAGATCTAAAAAGTCATTTAAAACTTACAAACTTAAAAGAAGCTTTTTATTTCAGGCGAATCGTTGACCATAATAAAAAGAATCTTGGTTACAAGTTAGAGGTAAACACGTTTGCTGATCGGACAGATGAAGAATTGGCTTACCTTACGGGAACCAGGTCGTCTGGGCCTGAAGCTGTGGGTACCGTACCCTTCCCTCATTCGGAAGAGGAGCTGAAGGCAATGGAAGAAGAAATACCCCAGATCTACGATATGAGACATGATGGTGTGATCTCAGCTGTTAAGAGTAAGTTTATATCAATTGTAAACGACTTTTCAAAATTGGACAAAAGCATATAGTGGCGGTGTAAGAATATCCACTACCCTATATTCCGTGGATATTATAAGAGGCGACAGAGGGAAAAAAACCAAAAACAAAACAAATAATAACAAGAAAATAAAAAATGCGGTTGCTAACCCGCATACCAAGCGTGGCAACTATGGAGAATATCCCTCTTATAAAACAATCTATGGGGTGGCTTATTTTCAGTAGTGGAATTTGAGAGACTGTAATGGTAGGGTGTATAGAAGATAATCTACCAGGAGCACATGACCCACTGAGAGGTGAAATTTTCAAATCAACAGTAACATTACAACGATGGCAAATATCTCCCCTATGAGGCAATCTATGGAGAGGCCTAAGTTCACTGGTGGACTTTGATAGCCTGTAATGGATGGATGTATAGAAAATAATCTACCAGGAGCACATGAACCACTGAGAGGTGAAATTTTCAAATCAACAGTAACATTATTATACTTTAGTGGCCTTGGGTGGTATGCCTCACAGTCTCCAATTATACTGACTCCGACTGTCACTTTGTTGACACAACTCGTGTCGCTATCTATAATGCCGAATCCGCGTTCATCACGAAGATATTCGTGAAATAAACCTTCTTCTTCGGCTTACGGCGAATATCCTTAGCCACGATTTGAGACTTGTTTCGTCGCTATGTTCTGTCTGCGATGCCGTATAGCATTAACGAGTTGAATGATTTATTTCTTGAACCTGAACCAAAAACTTAACCCTATTCGAAAAATATTATTCGTTGTCTTGTTTTTTTTTATATAGAATAAGGGTGACAATCGAGCACACAGTCCACCTGATGGTAAGTGGATGCTGTGGCCCATAGACATCTAACTCTATCCTCGAAATGCAAGTGCAAAACACAGCAAACAAACAGTTTCGTATGGTGAGTGTTTATATATATTTGAAGGTTGTTGGTCCTCGATGAGAGAAAAAGGAAATTGTGAGTACAAGATTTTTAACTCCAGTTTTCCTCAAAGATCGCCTTCCTCATTTCATCTTCATGTTTGCCATGCTGCTTGAAACTGAAAAGATAAGATTAATATTACTTTCCATTTGAAAGTTGTTCTAATACATGGGGTGCAATATTTGAAAGTCGAAATTTCAATATCCTTTCACGGTTTGAGGGTCAAATAAGTGAGTGAGCTTATTTTAACCGCCGTCCAAAAAACGAGAAGGTTTAAAATTCATCAGAACATTTATATTTATGTTCAGCGATAATTCTTTGCGCGTTGTCCGATTTCAATCTCATGTGAGTTCGGTCAAAATGTGATGATGGAATCGATTTTTTATCTTTATAAAACCTTTTTACTGGAAACGAGGTGTTGTATTTTAGTCCTCAGGTGTGACAACGCATCTGCATTTTGATTCTTAATTTAATATGGATATAGATATCAATGGGCCACAGCAATACCTCGTGTGCTCGTTTGTCACCCTTATTCGTAAAAAAAAAAACAATTATCGAATTGGCCACAGAGGATTGTAATTATACTAGTGCATGCTTATAAAGTAACCTCGCAAACTTTAATATAATGTTTGCATACAATAGATCAAGGTCAATGCGGCTCATGCTGGGCTTTCTCTTCCACCGCTGCAGTGGAAGGGGCCCTCGCCAGAAGCAACGGCGGCCGGAACATCGACCTCAGCGAGCAGTCCCTGGTGGACTGTGCTTGGGAGTATGATTATTTTTCTTAATAGTTAACGGCTTAATAGTTAACGGTCATCGATTTTCTAAAATCCCACTCTATATTAAGTAGTAACGTTACATGGTCCTAGATGATAAATACGTCAGCTTGTAAAAAAGCTGAAAAAAATTAGTACCTTTCAAGGAAACCTTAAGAGGAACAAGATCAATTCCTTGTTAACCCTAGAAACGGCAAATCTCGCAGATAGACTTTGAAATAAAGATATCTACAGTAAAACGAGAGTGAGCGTCATAGCCTAATGGATTAGTGAGCTGAAGTGGTAATGAACCAACAATACAGCTCGAAGAACCAACAACCGATGTGGAAGCCTTACTTCTCGAGTGGCAGCCTCGTACTTGTGAGCGTAGTGTACGGTGGCGCCCACTACATGGAGTGACAACCTGGTTAGAGATACAGGAAGTTGATGGCGGCTCAGGGCCATGCTTTGTGGTATTCCTTTAGGTAAGCCTATGTTCAGCAGTGGACTTGTGAAGGGCTGTAATGATGATAATGATAATGAATGACGGTCAGATCTTTGCTTTATACCCCAGAGGGGTATTTACATCTTACCTTAAGAAAAAGGTAGATATTTTCTTTCTTTGTAACAGTAATTACTGCTCGTGGACCTCCCCCGTTGTATAAAGGATATTACATGATCGCCACTTTTGACAAGAAGAATGGCGATCACAATACTCGATGTACATCACGTCTGACAGCGCTCTGAGTTCAATACATTTCCATTACAGCTCATAAAAATCCACTGCTGAACATAGGCCTCTAGGATTTCGCCATAGTTGCCACGTTTGGCAAGCGTGTTGGCAACTGTAGTATTTTTTATAATTTTGACGCTGCTGCCCATCTCCTGTAGATCAGTTTCCCTTTGCCGCCTCTTACGACAACCAATGGACGATATGGGTATGTAGTGAATATTCTTACATCGGTACTGCACGGTTGCTCTGAGCGATTTTTAATACATGTGTCAAATAAAGGAATGTATAGCATATGTATATACCATAGGATTGCTTACGTAGGGCTAGAGGGGTCTAATGTGATAAAGTAAATATATAATTTTTTAACTATTATTTAAACAATAATTTCTTTACAGTATTTTATTATATACAATATTAAAAACTATAATAAAATCAAAACTAAAACTAGTAATTTAATTATCAAACAGTCCTACTCCACGCGGTATCGTGCCGAGAAAGTTTCCCCGCTGAATGGATATACTTAGCCTTTGGGCGAGAAAAGAGCCAGCTCTCTTATCACCAGCAACAAGGACTAGCCGCGGATGGAGTTCCTCTAGGAACTTCACCGCACGTGGACCCCACGGACCGATAGTCTCTACAGCAAATGGCACAAATATTTAGTCATCTCTCAGAGACTCATATTTGCGCCACTTACTCAGTTCAGCTGTCCCTGATGCCACCCCGGCTCTAAACGAGGTACCCCTGGAATGAGAGGTCGCCAAAGTGTCTATACAAGTAGCATCCCACACTAAGGCTTTACCTCTCTCCCAAGTGACCAATGTCATACCGTCGGGTCTCTTGTCATCGTCTCTAAATATTCCACAGGGCTCTAAAACCGAGGGCACATTTATAGAGACAAGAGCTCTTCGGATGACATCGCTCAAAGAACCGTTTCGTGAAAACCTACCAGCACTTTTCTCATATGAAAGTCCGTGGAGCCCAAACTTGTCGACGCTCTACCACAGGGCACTTATGGGGTTACATATTTTTTTGTGTGTTTGTGTTACATTATTTACATTTCAAACTTTGCCAAACTGTATGCCAGTTTGTCGGCAAAATATAATATGTCTTGCTTTAACTAACGGATAGACAAGTCACATGCACACATTACATGCACTCATGTTACATTCACATCTCTGGTGGTTATCAATCGAACCCAAGGTTTGATATCGTAGGGCTAGCTTATTACAATGTAATAGAAATAATATGCCATAATTTATTAAAAAAAAACTCATACAGACGCATAAACTACACATTATATTCATTCACACACCCTCCTCACACCACTCTACACACACATTATACATACACACTACACTTACGCTATACACACACTTCACACATACTTTTTACACATACACTTAGAGTGTTAAGTTATTATATAATATATTAAGTTTATATAATATATTACTTATACGTGATAGAGCCATACTGCAGCTATATTATTGGTATAATTGTAGCACGAATGGGTAGGCTCGACCGGGGATGGACCACGCTCACACAGAATACCAACGTAAAATAGCAGCTTAACGCTGCTGTGTTTCGTACGGTGTAGAGAAGCGGAGACCCTTTTTACTGGAAACGAGGCATTCCATCTTACTCCTCACGGGTGACAACGCATCTGCATTTTGATTCGTAATCGAGGATAGATGTAAATGTCTATGAGCCTTATTTGGCACACTTATCCTATAAAAAAAGTATAAATAAATTAAATGTAATTATAATCCATGGGAAGAGTAGAACCATTCAAAACAATCACTTTTATATTGTTCCTGGGTGGTTCTGGCCACGGCATAACACTGAACTAATCAATCTTAAGTAAATAAACTATTTTTTTATTATTTTAGATCTTTCCGACTTTTACCATAGCTGCTACTTACACCTATAATACGAAATGGAGTGATGGATAATCGCCGCCACCAAATATTCAACAAGATTAGAGACACGTTTTTTTATAGAACAAGGGTAACAAGCTGATACAAAGTCTATCTGATGGCAAGAGTGGACGTGGCCTATAGACATCTACAATTATCCTCAATTAGGCATCAAAATGCAGATGCATTGACAGCCCAGAGGACTAAGATGGAATGCCTTTTTTCCAGTACAAACTATCTCCAGTTCTCTACACTCACCATACGAAACGTAGCAGCATTAAGCTGCTAGTTTATGCTGGTATTCTGTGAGAGCGTGGTCCTCCCCTAGTCAAGCAGACCCATTCTAGGTACAACCATAATATAACTGCAGCGTAAAAGCAAATAAAGAAATTCTTAAACACCATTAATAGTATTAGACAATATTTTAATTTAGGTGCCAATATCTGGGTCTATTTATTATTTTTATTTTTCTTGCAGTCATAATTTGGGATGCAATGGTGGATTATTGGACCAAGCGTTCAAATACATCACCATGAATGGCATTCCTTCTCAGAGGGAATATGGACCGTATTTACAACAGGTTTGGAGAGTTTAATATGTATGTTCTTTACTAACATTTAAGGTGTCAACAGAATTATGAGTAAAACTCAAAATAATCATTTACCCAATATGTTCGCATCGCGGGAATGTGCATAGTCGTTGGCACAGAATACTACTATTACTCCTAGCCAAAGAGTAAATTATGTATTATAGTATTCTATGGAGTATATAATCACTACGTTTTAACATTGGCTATTAGACACTTTAGCCGCAAATACGCAAATACACAACAACAAATGAAATTCTCTACACATTTCTCCGTTAGGCAGCGTTCAGAAAACCGTCCAGTAATCGATATCTGTAAACAAAATTGCAGTCAGTGCCAGTAGTGCTAGCCACGATCTGTGAAATTGAGACATAGTCCTTCACTGTTATAATTGTTTAAGATCTATGTTCGTTAGTACACTTTTTCATTCCTTTAGATAGCTATGTAGAGCTATGTATTCTGTTATTTTAGAGAAGTTATGCGGAGTTTTAAGAACATCGAGCTACTCGGACCACGTTTAGCCAAAAATATAGGTTAAGATGGAAAATTATGGAAGAAGTAATAGGTAGCCAATCGTCTATACAATCATAAAGCCAATATCCCATTAGTAAACTTTTACAATACGTTAGACAAGAAACACGGCTGGCACATTCTTTGTTGTTATAACTCCATCATAAGCCCCAGACCAACATGTAATGGTCTTTTCTGCCGACTTCCAAAAAGGAGACGGTACTCAATTCGACTGTATTTTTTTTGTTTCTTTTTTACCTTATAACTTTTTACTGAGTGAACCGATTTCGATTATTCTTTTTTGTATGAAAGCTGATACATCTCGTGTGGTCCCATATGAATTTGATCAAGGTCAGGCCAATAGTTTTTGAGTTATTCTTAATAACTTATATTGAAGTCGACTGTACAAAATTTTTCATTTAAAATTATTCTTTATCAGTTTTACCGTGTGGTTTCAGGACAAAAATAAATATGAGGGTACGTACTCAAATTGATACCCAGGTAGAACCTTGTTCTTACTCCACTTATCTACCTTCTCTATCTAACTCAAACTCAATTTTAAGATGCCGTCAAGCCTCGTGCTGTCTCTATCACTTTAAGTCAATGTGACTGTGAAACCATAAGTTTTAACGATATCTTAAAATTGAGGAACGTTTTAGTATTTGGCTTACCGATTAATGGCGGTGTAAAAATATTTACTACATCATATCATCCGTGGGTGTCGTCAAAGGCGACAGAGAGAAACAAATCTAAACTAAAAGTAAATATATGCGATCGCCAAACCCGCTTGCAAGTCGTGGCAACTATGACAAATATCAAATATGAGGTAATGTATGACAGAGGCATATGTTCAACAGTGTCGAGTAACGATGTCGCCTACGACTCATATGGTTCATTCTGAGTGGTAGAACTAAATGGAACTTGTTGGAAAAACCCCTTCATTCTTTACCTGTTACGACATATTCCATAGAACTCTATACTACATTTAAAATTTTAGAAAAGCAAATTCCCACATAAAATTTCTTTATTTACGTAACATCGAAATATATACAACATAAAATTAAAACTTTTTATGAATTTGTTAAATATGCTACAAATAATTTTGTTAACCGCATACCCGTTTGTGCTGTGTTCACGGTCAGGACTAAAAAGCATTTGATCTTGTTAACCATGACCGATCACTATATAAACTACAAAAGTATGATATTAAGGGGAACACATTCAAATTATTGGTATCATATATATCAAACAGACAACAATGCATTCAAATAGCCAAAATATGTCAAAGAACGAAAATGAGGGAAACGTTTTGCTCAAAATACAGAACCATCGTCAATGGTGTACCACAAGGTAGTATCCCTGGGCCTTTAATGTTAATGATTCACCAAAGATCATAAGACATCCTATTATATTTTTTGACGGCAATACGATGATAATAAACTATACAGATAAAAATATTTACGAAATTGAAATAAATAATGCACTTTATGACATTGTTTATAGGCTTACAGAAAATAGGATAAGTATATTTTTTTAATGCAGTTCCAGAAAAATAGAACTAACCCGCTTGAACTAAACATTAAGTACAAGAGATCGCCGAGGTACCTATTACAGAGGTAACTTCCACTAAATTCCTGGGCACAGAAGTAGATAATACTTTATATGAAATGGGAAACACATGTTTAGAGACAAGATAAACGCCTAAAAAGTCACATATTTGCCCTGAGAAGACGTTCATTAAAAAACTGCATTAATACCTTCTAACGCCTTTGTTGCATGAATATTTAGGTATGGTATAATATTTTGGGGTAACTGTTCGGCTAAAGATACTATATTTAAAACTCAGAAAAAAATGTATTAGAGTGATATTCTGATATGTGCAAACCGTACTTTAAAAAATATCTAATTTTGACACTTCTTAGCTTATACACAAATGACATTGCAACATTTGTGCATTCCAACCTGTAATTATTTACCTCGAGCGAAAAAAGAAAACCTCAAAGTTTAAAACATGAAATTGTTAGCGTACCAGGAAAAACAGCACTATTACGACATATTATATTAGGAATGGCTCCTGTTATCTACGTTAATTTGCCTAACAACATAAAAAATAAAATAGAAGACTTTGAAAAAAAACTAATAGCTCTATTGCTTGAAAAAGTTTACTACTCAATGCAAGAATATATTCATGAACATTTTTGAAGCTTCTGTGTTTAATTACAAAATCGTTCTTTCTTTTATTTTTGACATTTACTAAAATTGTACAATTGTTGTTTGATGATTGAACTAGTAAATGGTAGCAGTTTGACATTGCAATTATTCGGAAAATTTATTTCCATTTAAATATTTGTATGCCACTTAATGGTAGTATATCTACTTATATACTTATATATACTTTTGATCAACAAATAAACGTATTATTATTATTATAAAAATCTATAATAAAAAACTACCCGTGGTATCGTGCCAAGAACGCCGGCTACGTTTCCTCACTGAATAGTTATACTCAGCTTTTCAATGAAAAAAGAACTAGCCATCTAATCAGGAGCAGCGATGATCAGTTGCGGATACAGTTCCTTCAAGAATTTCACCGCACGTGAACTCCACGAACCGATAGTTTCAACAAAATAGCACAAATATGTTGTCATCTCACAGAGATTCATATTTGTACTACTTACTTAGTGAAGCTGCCTCTGTTGCCGCCCTAGCTCAAAACGTGGCACGCCTGAGATGGGAGGCTGCCAATGTTGTTGCCAAAGCTCAAAAATAATTTATTGATGTTTTTTTTTAAGGACGGTTACTGCAAGTTAGAGAATATGACACAGGTGTACACTATCAAAGGCTTCGCTCGAGTCCCTTCGTTGAGTGAGACTGCTCTCAAAGTAGCACTCTTAAAGTACGGCCCTGTCACTGTCGGCATATACGCTGGGACGAACATGAAATTTTACTCTAGTGGCATATTCTATGATATAGATTGGTACGTATGCATCAGCGTTATTAATTTATGAAATTTACGTGCAAATTTTATTTAGATCTATTAAGCCAATATAATCATAGTTGGTGAGGCATTCCATCATAGTCCATCATAATCATTCTTCGTATTGGTCCAGACACATTAAGGGTTTCACCTCAGAATGAGAGATAATAAGCTGTAAACTTGTATAAATCTTAATTTTGGCATTCTAAATGTTGTCCCAACAGTCCCATAAAATCTCGTGTCCACGTCTTAAGATATTCAAGGTCAAATGTCACAAAAATTGGTTTTACTCTCTCTGTTTTAACTTTTTTTATTATACTAAGCCAGCGCTTAACAACAATCCCACCTGATGGTAAGTGATGATGTAGCATAAGATGGAGAAGCGCACTGACTTAACCAAAGCCTATTCACTCTTGCCTTGAAGATACCCACATTGCAATCGGATGGAAACAGATATGATGGCAACTTATTCCACTTCTTTGCTGTACGCATCACAAACGATGTAGCAAACCGTTTGGTCCGAATGCGTGGTAAGTGAACAACGAAAAGGTGGAGACTGGTCGATCGTTTGGTTGTCCGATGGTGGCAAGAAGATGGAGCAATTAAATTATACAATTCCTGCGCACACTTCCCGAAATGAAAACCGAAAGACTGGCTATTTCGCGCCTGTGTTCGAGACTGGTAATATTGGTTTTAACCAAATTTGGGTCACCAATAAGCCCTCTTAGCACGCCTTTCTGTTGAGTTCAAAGCTATTAGGTGGCATTTTGTAGCACCAGCCCATATATGGTAGCAATGCACGACCGGACTTGCGCTTTATATAAGGTAAGCAGCTGTCCCGGCGTTAAGTATCGCGGTACCTTTGCATGGACTCCGTGCTTCCTTGCAGCTGCTTTGGCCTTTGATTCAATATACCACCTGAAATTCAGATTTGAGGGTATCTCAACCCCCAACAACTGAAGGCGGTCAGTGTATTCCAGTGATACATTTCGGAAAGAAGGAACCAAGATGAGCTTGCTGTTGTTTTATGTTTTAATTTTATTTTCATTAATTATGAAAATAAGGGTGACAAATGAGCAAACAGTCTACCTGATGGTAAGTGGATGCTGTATCCCATAGACATCTACATCTGTCCTCGATTAAAAATCGAAATGCAGAAGCATTGCCGTCCCTGAGGACTAAGATGGAATGTCTCATTTCCTCTGGAATGGAATGTCTCACCACACGAAACACAACTGCATTGAGCTGCTATTTTACGCTGGTGTTCTGTGTGAGCATGGTCCTTCCTCAAGACGATCCATTCGTGCTACAACCATAATATAGCTGCAGTGTAACTCTACCATATCTCAGATTCTGATCTCTTCTTATTTACTTCCTCCTATTCCTGCTAAATTAACACCTGATTTATTTGGCCCGACTCGGTGTTGGGAACCTGGGATCTCATAATAAACGAGGCAGGCAAAGCAACGACGGCTCCGTGGCGCAGTGACTTAGCAATGAGTTGCAGCTTGCAGCACTAAGGGCCGCGGGTTCGAATGCCGCACGGAACAAATATTTTTATGGCCTACAAATAATTGTTTCGGTTCTGGATGTGGGTCCTTATGAAATTTATGTAATTAAACTACCTCTACAGTACAGGCAAAATCCTAGTGTGGAGGTAACGTTTCAAAAAAAAGAAAAATAAAGAAACCAAGTCAAGACAAGTCAAAGTAACTTAAATTATGTTTTTCAATACAGCTCAAAAAGTATGCTCAACCACGGTGTCACGGTGGTTGGATACGGCGTGCGTGATGGTACTAACTACTGGATTGTTAAGAACTCCTGGGGTGAAGACTGGGGTGAAGATGGCTACATCCTCATGTCCGCAGTCAACGACAACTGTAATGTTATGTCCGAAGCGTACTATCCGATTGTTTGAATGACGATAATTAATTTACTTTGTTTAACCTTGTATAAATAAACTCCACGGTGCAATTTGAAATTTGTGTTGTGGTTTTATTTTTAACGCTGCAACTAATTTTAGGTGGTGGAGCTGCTATAATACAGTAACAACATGAATGGGTCGATTCGACCGGGGAGGACCACCTTCTCACAGAATACCAGCTTTTTATTGGATACAAGACATTCTATCTTAGCCCTCAGGGGTAATAGCACATCTACATTTTAATTCTAATTCGAAGATGGATGTAGCTTTTTATGGGCTACAGCGGCGTACAGCAGGCGATTTCTGTGCTTGTTTATGACCCTAATTCTATTTTTTAAAAAAACACGAAACAATTTTTTTACAGTATAGGGTGACAAACGAGCACACAGTCCACCTGATGGTAAATGGCTGCTGTGGCCCATAGACATCTACATTTATCCTCATTTGTGAATCAAAATGCAGATGCGTTGCCACCCGTGAGAACTTAGATGGAATGCCTCGTGTCCAGTAAAAAGGGTCTCCGGTTCTCTACACTCACCATACGAAACACAGCAGTGTCAAGCTGCCATTTTACACTGGTATTCTGTGAGAGCGTGGTCCTTCCCCGGTCGAGCCGACCCATTCGTGATACAACTATACTACTAATATAGCTGCAGCATGGCTCTACCACGTACATAATTATCTAATACGTACACAATTATTTGGTTATAACTAAAGACCATTAATGTTTCAATTTTTCGTTTGTTTTTTAAGTCTTCTAAAAATATAGCCCAGATCTTGCCCTCTAACTGTTCATAAAGTTTCATGGCAATCGGTTCAGCCATTCCGAAGATCAGCCTGCACAAATACATAGACAGACAGATAGATAAATTAAAAAAGATTGTTTATTTCTTGAAAGCATGCAAATAGATTAATAATATTACAGACAGACACTTCAATTATATTTATATGTATAGATATATATTCTATTAAATTCTTTGACATGAATTTGAGATAAGATTAATTTAGTAGAACTTAAGATTCGTTTATTTGGTATAATATATTACAAGCCCATTCGACGACCTGGTTTTAATCCCGACTAAGTTCTTTAACTGTATCATTAGTATTACCCGGCCGCAAGTATAATTGTAGACTTGAAGGTCATCGGCATATAACAGAATATTTAAAACAGCCTGTAATATCGGCCCTGTAGAGGATAAATAGTAAAGAACCTAAAATTGTCCCTTGTGGAACGCCACGCGTAACAGAAGACGCAGCCTGACACGCTGAGTCTATTATCTATTATATCTATTACAGCTTAAAGTCAAGAATTTAAACGCATTGCATAATTTTGTTCGTGCTTTGGTGAAGATCCCGTGTGTCGTTCTCCACTCAGGCTAGGGTTGGTCTGTTACTTTTCCTCTACCACTTGGCATTGCACCAATTCTTTGTTCGTTTACAACACCAGGACTTCACTTCTTTGAAGAACTCCGTGATGGTGGTGGGTTGGCAAACCTGCGGCGACTGCTTGGCTGGCCAGTGCTACTACTACTGCTATCAGTGCAAGTAATGCCAAGACTACGCACAGGAAATTCATCTTGGTTGATTTTTAGACCTCCTGTAATAAAAAGTTAAAGGTTGCAAGGTTGCCTGGTAGAGAATGTCTCAGACATTTAGTCTAGTCTATATAGGCACCTTGCATATAAAGTTTTAAATAAATGATAATACAAATAAATTTCTCTACCTATTTTAGCAGTCCAACTTAAATGTAAGTGTGTATATAGCCACACAAGCACAAACATCTATCCTGGATTAAGAATCAAAATTTAAATACGTTGTCACCCTAGTGAAATAAAATAGAATGCCTTGTTACCTGTAAAAAGACCGTCGGTATCCATCACTTACTATACATAACACATCGGGTACTGCTATTTTACTCTGGTGTTCTTCCGCGGTTGAGCTGACCCATTCGTGCTGTAACCATAATACGTTGCCATAAGCTGTAGAGGCTCTACCCCTTTAACCCTTTGCCTGTCCCATGACTCATATATGAACATTTCGATTGTTTAACTATTATGTCTATCAAACTATTGAGAGGAAACCTTAGTAACCTCGTGGAAACCGAAACAGATAAGAAAACAAAATATCTGCACCTGGCTAAAGAGGTGACCAACGTGTGGCGTTGTCTGCCGAAATTATACCTGTGGTCGTTTCTGCGAACAGGCTAGTCACATTCAGCCTTTCGAGTCAACTGAGGCGACTGGGACTCCGCGACGGACGGCTCCGGACTTATATGTAGAAGGCGGTGCTCCTCGATACCGCCAACATCGACCGCCAGTTTCTTTCTCCTTCTTTCTAACCCTCGGCTGTTTTTTCTTCCCTGCCGAGGGCTTCCATCTGTTTGTGTTTTTATTAATTTATGTATTATTTATTTATTTATTTTACTTACTATTGATATAGATTTATGTATATCTATAATTTTCTTTTATATATACAGCCCAAACAGATGAGAAAACTATAAATAAACCAAATTAATAATAGGTTCGCATCGATATACAGTAACTTAATCTTTCGTCGTTTAGGACATGGCACAAATACGAGCGACTAAAATAGAGTCTAATTAAAATGTACAACATGCATGCATGTATACTCACAATCAATCAGTTCATGCACAAAATAGTATTCATAGTATATTTGTGCACAGACAGGCGCTATATTTTGCCGAAACTACCAGAAAGATTTTCCATTGATCTTACAGTAGGTTATAAATGCTGAATTTAACTAATTCTATTTTCGTTAGAAAAAAATACAACAGTTAACCAATATCACCGATATATGGTGCTATGCAAATATAATACAATAGATGTATTTTCATAACTACTGCTGATTTTTTTTTGTGATTCATAGGCGGAATAACACATATAGCAATGTAAACTTTGTTGTGTATTTCTTAAAATGTATTAATCGTACAAACGTTGTGATAAACTAGAATAACAATCAAATCAAAGATTCAAGTTGAACTTTTTTTTAAATAGCTCCTATCTATTACAGGGGCAAAAGTAAGATGTTGAACTTTATATTATTAATAATTGACCAGTGCACTATTTTAACTTATAATACCGGTGAAAACTAATAGACAATCGCTTTTAGTTTGTTTTTAGGTTATAGTGATATTCATATTTTAATTGTTCATTTCTCTGTATTCCCCTTAGACAAATAATAATATTAAACTTAAAAATAATATTACTATTGTAATCTATAGATTGTAGGGAATAAATCGACATGCAATTCATTGAGTATCGTTAAAATGTCTATATAGAAAAAGAAATTGTCTCCTTTAATAAGTGGATCAGAAAATGGGCGATTTTCTACTCGCCGGGAAGGCACTAGCACTAGGTGTCGGAGCTCCGTTTTTCCACTAGGCTGGTGCCGGTGCCGATCTACGCTCGGTTTTTGGGCAGTACTAAAATAGACTTCAGTTCTAAGACACGTAAAAATGATCTAGTCACGTCGTCGTATTTGCTTGTTATATCTCTTACGTAAAAAAAACTATTGGTAAATCCAATTGTGCATGCCTTAAGCGCATTAACATGATTATACCTAAATTTTTTAAGTAATTTAAATACACACAAGTTTTCTCTAATAACCTTCCCTTCTCTTCGTAGAGTTCCAGTAGCAGTCAATAATGTCTATTCATAACTAACAAAACAAGCCCGAACACGGCACATCTAGTTCTCCTCGTCGAGGAATATCAGTAGCAGTCATCAGAGTACACCTTCAAATCACTCTCTCAAGTCCGGAGGTAAGGTCTCATCATAACTAACAAAACGAGCCCAAACTCAGCACACCTATTACTATTACTACTCTTCGAGGAGTTCCAGTAGCATTCACCGAAGTACACCTTCAAGTCACTCCATCAAGTCCGGGGGTAAGGTCTCATCATAACTAACATAACGAACACAATCTCGGCACACCTCGTTCTTAGTACTTTTCGAGGAGTTTCAGTAACAGATACCGAAGTACACCTTCAGGTCTCCATAAAGCCCAAGACGTATAAGTATATTTATATATAAATCCTTCGTACTTTTAACGAAAAAAAATATTGTAATAAAAATCTGTCATTATAAAAATAATAATAATATCTTACCTTGGTCAAGTATGTATCAAATTTAGTTTTTGGAATATTTTGTATATCTACAGCGATCGATATTTTTCAGCACGAACTGCTGTAAACAGACGGCCACTCACGACGGCGGCCGTGCCCGGACTAAAAAAGTACTCTGTGGCCATGTGTGTGTGGAGTGAGGCAAACTGTATTTAGTAAAATAAATTAATACAAAGCTGCTCAAAACATCGAAAGTTTCGGCATTTCTCAGCCGAAACAAATTAATTATAAATAAACAAAACAAAGTTAAACTGCCATTTTCATTCCATGGGTTCCCGCATGATATGAAGACTTTAAAAAAAGATTGAGTTGAACAATTGATATTTTTAAGTTACCTTGTTTACCCCTCCATGCAGACTTGATAAATCTACACCGATAATTTTATGTCAAGCTTCAATTAAGAAAATGTTTGGAAAATCCAAAAGTTCACGACTCATAATGCTCATATGATAGTCAAAAAATTAAAAAAAAATGTAAATCGTGCTTCTATTCGTCAAAGAGTTCCAGTAGCAGTTAATAAGGTCTATTCATATTTGATAAACTTGATAAACTTGATAAACCTACAGCATAAGCCACAAAAACCACTTTTTTATGTAAAAACTAGCTGATCACCGCGACTTCGCCCGTGCGTGATTTATTACGATTGGACTTCATAGGTTTTAATTTCTTGTGCGGAACCCTCATTCTTTTTCGAAAATAAAAGTAGCCTAAGTTACTTCTTATAACATCAGCTATCTGCAAAGTCCGGTCAATCAGTCTAGACGTTTCGGAGATTAGCCGGAACAAACAGACAGAAAGACAGACAGATCAAAATTTTAAAAATCGTGTTTAGTTATAAGTACCGTATATACCTTCATATGCATTTAGTAAAAAGCAGTTATTTGGACATTACAAACAGACACTTTCAACA